GCCGAGTCCGGAGACAGCGGGGCGAGGCGAGGCGAGACGGGAGGGGGGCCGATGAGGCGAGAAGCGCGGCCTCGGCCGCAAGGTTGAAGGCGAGTGCAGATGCCTCCGCATTGTGGAGGCGGGCCTGGGTGGAAAGGCCAGCGTGTAGAGGCCGGCGGGCGTAGCGGAGATTTGAGTGTCGCTGGGGACGTTGAGGGTGGGAGGGGCGAGATGGAGCGGGCCATAGATACATCGGAACTAGTAGAGCTGGAGGGAGACATACGGGGAGCCGGGTCGACGGCAGGGGTTTTCTTTGAGGCAGCTTGGCCAGTAGAGGAGACTGTGGATGCCATTGTTAGTAGAGGACGATGAGGAAAGGACTCACGAGAGGGGATGGGAAGTGGGCGCTTATTGGGGATGGTGGTGGTACGAGTCGAAGGTGTCTTCTGGATCCATCGAGATGCAGATGCCGGCGGAGGTGGGGGGGGGGGGGGTGGGGGGCAAACAAACGCACAGTGGCAGATGCCCGATGGGAGATAAACCGCTGCAGCCCGATTGATCGATGGAGCGCCCCTCGGATAAGTCGGACTTGGGCCCGCCTTCTGCTGCTGGCCTGAACCTCGGCCTGGCTCCCGAGTGCGCGGCGCGTGTGGTGCGCCCCAGATTTGCAGATGGCGACGACACGTAAGAATTCGCCGGGGATCTCTCCGCCGGGGGTCGGGGTCGGGGACGGGCTCGACAACAACGGCGGCGGCGGCCGCCCCTGCAATGATCTGCACGACGTTATTTCGCTCGCTGTTGTTGTCATCGCGGTGTTTTACGTCCCGAGTGCGTACGCAGCGCGCTGCGGACGGACGATCCCAAGCTCGGTGTTGCGGGACGCTCGTGGTTCAGGGTACGTATGCCGCGCGCCCAGTCGCCCGACGCAGTACGTAGTACACACGTGTTGATACCAATATTCCGAGGCGGACAGAGCAGAGCTCGAGAAGCGTCCGTCGTGGTATCTCGACCGATGCTGCCGCGGGCGAGTGCAGGAAGACGGATACCACGATGGCCGTCGCCCCGTTGGGTCGGCCCTTCCTCTCCACCCAACGCTGCCCGGTGACGTTTTCACGCAGGCGACGCGGTCGACGCGAAGCCGCTCCGAGCCCTGGGACATTGAGATGCGCACACACAATTGCAGACCCTCGCATGAGAACGCCCGCGACCGAGAGCGGACGTCTTCTGTGGACGCATCGCGTTCGTCGTTCTCGCCTATCGCGATCCAATCGCAGATGCGCAGGCGGCAGCTGCGGCAGCCTGCTCCGAGTAAAACAGTTTAGAGCACTGGAGGTTCGCCACTGCAGCTCATTAATGCACGCGTCCGCATGTGCGTCGTCCGAGCCATCCCTTCGAACTCTTCCTCGGCACTCGATCATTTTCGGATGGACGTCGCCCGATCGGACGTTCGTCCCCATCCGCGCGCTGCGCGCCCAAACACGCGGCTCTTGCCCCGCCTTCGACCTTCGGATTCGGGCACCGACACGGTCAGGGGCTCTCGTCCTGCGTCGCACGAGCCCAGCCCGAAAACGGAAATCGATGCCCAGGGGCTTGTCGGGGCGGGCGCGCGGGACGCGCATTCCCAACGCACGCTCGCCTGCGGGCTCATTTCCCGGCGTCATGACGCCTCCCTGGGGGTGTCTATTTGCCCGTAGGCGCGCAGCGCGAGTGGTTCAGGAAATGGCGCTTCCGCTGTCGGGCGTGCGTATGGCTTCGGCGTCGTTTCATGACTGGGGAGGTGTGGGTCGCCCATGAATGCATGATCCGTGTGTCCAGTAGTGGACTGACTTCCCGGCGGGCCGCAATGAGCAACACCACGATCGCCGTGAGAGGAGGATCGAGCGCGTTCTTCTTCTTGGTGCATTGAAGAAGCTGGTGCATTGAAGAAGCTGGTGCATTGAAGAAGCTGGTGCATTGAAGAAGCTGGTGCATTGAAGAAGCTGGTGCATTGAAGAAGCTGGGAGTCTGATGCAACTCAGTCGGCACGAGAGGGAATCCAGGCGTTCGAGTGATGTGCGCAACGACGCTACCCGCGCCTGGTGTTCCGTTATGCCTCCCGACATATGGTCGACCGCCAGCTCGTTGGCACCAGCGGGATGATGAGACCGGAGAGCGCGTTGCGAAGGACATCGGCCGGCTGTGCCGTGCGCATCGCAGCATCTGCCCATTTCAGTCCAGACAGCTAACCCGTCGAGCAGCTTGTTCGGAAGAGCCGTCACGAAGGACGGAGGCGAGGGACGTGCAGTGCCTTGTGCTCCGAGTCGTATCGCTGTATGCCGCATCGGTGTACGCTGGCCACTGCAATCCAAATGCGTGCGCCCCTGCGCCCTAGTAATGTCCCAAGACATGAGCTCGATTGACTCTCGATAGCCTAGGGTGGATTAGAGCTCAGCGAGCGTTCATCCCGCCCGAGAACGGAGGCGCACATTCCAGTTCAGAGCGCGAAGCGGATTCGCGGACGTCCGTCATGGCGCATGTCGGTCATCGTACGCCAGTGAAGCTCCCGCGGGGAAGCCGTCGCCGCACCTCGCGTCGTGAATGATATGAGGTTGGTCGCCCGGCTGCTGCTTCTGCTTCGCTGCCCTCCCCTTGTCCTCGCATTCACGAGTCTGCCGCCCGCGCGATTCATAGTACAACGGACGTCGGATGTCGGCCGCCTGCGCATTGGATTGGCGTCTGCATCGCATTCGTGTCGCTCGCATGGCAAGAGCGATGTGGACGTGGAACCGTTGGTGGCCTTCTTCTTTCGAGCATGTGATCCGCGATGCCCTCGGGCTCGGGCCCTCTTCCTTCTGACCTTCCGCGAACAAGGCGGATGATCTTACGCTTTTGGACTCGGCAGTCAAACCTGCGGTCGTCCAGCCTCTCGTTTCGATCATTTCGAGACACAAATGCCCAGGACTTGACCGCATGCAAGTAGAAGACCTGCTAGTCGCCGTCCACGAGACGGCCGAAATGATCTATACCTGTTCTGTAGAACCAGCGTGTTATTGGAAAAGTATGCTATAGCGAGCATGCAGGCGAGCATGCAGGCGAGCACTGTGGTGCGCACCATGCAGGCGAGCACTGTGGTGCGCACCATAGTTCACCGGCAGATCGGTGGCTGACACCTTTGCCGGGGCTTCTTCAGACGATACGCAAGGGTCGAGCCGTCGTGCGCTAGCACATGTCTCGCGTCGCCTCCCATCTTAATCAAGTCAGTCGTTCGGAGAATGTACACCCTTGTGAAACACGAATCTGCCACCGGCTCCAGGTCAGGAAACACGAGAACAGAAAAAGATCGGCCTCGACTCCGTTCCGAGAACGGTTCGTAGTGCCAAGCGGGGAACATCATTAATTCCACCGTCATGGAATGAAAACTTCACCAGCAGTTTGCACACCGACAACTCCACAATCTAGCCAGCAGCACACGGACGGCAGTCAGACATCCGAAGACAGGCCAGTATAATGTACATCGTACGTACGCGAGACGTGACAACCGGGACGGAAGAAGGGGCAGCCGTTCGCTCCAAACAGCGCACCTCCGTTCGGCGTCGGAGGCACGCAACGGCCAACTTGCGATCCCGCTCGAACACGAACACGAACGCACGCTCACTCCTCGTCCTCGTCCCCGCTATCGCTCGCCTGCTGCAGGCCCTCAATCTGCACGCCGCCGGTGTCTCCATCCCCGTCCTCGTCCGCGCCTGCCGCGCCCGCGGTCTCCTGCTTCTTCTTGAGCTTCGAGATGACTTTGTCCGCGCGGTTGAAGATACCGCCGGTGGGTGCGCCGCACGCGGCGCACTTGGGTGTCTTCGCGAACCGCTTGATCGCGCACGCCGAGCAGAAGTAGTGCCCGCAGCGGGTGACGACCGGTTCTGTGTACGGCTTGCGGCAGAGGATGCACGCGAACGGGATGTCGTCGTCAGAGTCCGAGTCCGACGCGTCTTCGTTCGCTTGCTTCTTCGGGTCGGCGGCGAGCTTGTCGAGCTGCCAGCCTTGGAGATCTAGAAGGGAACATGCATCAGCTCAATTGTCTACAATCGCTATCAACAAGGCACGCATGCTCCAAGGCTGGGATGTCCATGCGCCCTTGGAGACAGTCTGTGCACTTGCTGCGCCGATGTAAACCGGCGATTGGTGTAAGGCAGCACGGACGCACGACATGCATGCCGCGTGAATTCGGGAAGGCATACTCACAAGTTCCGCGATCGTGTAAGAATTTACACGTATCGCCATAACCACAGTAGCCCGTCTCTGTCGAAGCGAATGGTCTGTCAATGGCAGGCCGTGCGTTCAGGGCCAAAATCGCACATACCTTTGTAGTCCTTACACACGTCGGGCTGATAATCGACGATGGTCACTGTACGGATCGTGCTGTTATTCGACCTCTGCGGCCCGACGCGCATCGCCTTCGGCACCTCCTTGTTCTTCCGTATGTGCGACGCGTACGCCTTCTGGCCGCGGTACAGGCCATCGTCCGGCACCTCCTCTTCGTCCTCGTCCTTCCTCTCCGACTTCAGCCGCTTCGACAGCAGCGCCTCCGCCTCGTCGCCCTCCAGAATCTCCAGCGCAGCGTTCACGTGTGAGCCCGCTGCCGTCCACTTCACGTCGGGGCCCTCCCGCGCGTCCTCGTCCTCGTCCTCTTGCCGTTGTGATGCGGTGCGTTTGGTCCCCGCGCTGAGGATGCTCGCAGCAGACTTGCGCGAGGGGAGGACGACTTCGGATTTCGAGGACGAGGGTACGGGAGCGGTCAGAGCGGTGGCGGGTGGAGACGTTGACCGTTTCCGACCTGTCGTGGGTCGCCCGCGCCCCTTCTTCTTGAAGAACGGGACAGAGACTTTCTCCGTATCAGCCATGACGCAACAGCTAGCAAACGTTGGAATAAGAGGTGGGCGAAACACGCGAAGACAAGGGTACCTGGTCGGTGGGTTTGACATACGCGGTGGCTGAAGGCGCTGACCTATAGCTTAGTCAGCGCCTCCATCCGCATAGGCCACATAATCAGGCGCTGGAGGCGCTCGAACAAAACCACCGCTCACCTCGGGAAGCACTTCCTTTGTCAACAGCACCCGCGGAAGCTCGCCAATGCAGATCGTAGCGCTTCTCGAAGAGACAACACTTCAGCTGTTTGTTTGGTAAGGATTCGACGACTTTAGTTACATGACCTCCCAGCTGCGCCGTACTGGCAGCGCCAAGCAACGTCAGGACGAACACGCTCTCAGCGGATAGATCTCTCTCGTTCTGGTCTCATGAAACTCACGGCAGCCCTAGGGGGGTGGATATGGTATGATGCTCAGCTACTGTTCAATGCGGCCCGGTCGTCCCTTTTGCGCTGCTGTTGTGATTGGGCTTGCCACAAGCTAGAGGCCGGCAAGGTTGGATCTTCCAGCTTTGGACGTCCGGAGCCGTCTTTATTCCACAATCTTTGGAAATCTCACTTAGGTCCGTACTGGGGTCTTCAGGAGGACGCTCGGTTCTCCCTATTCAATTCTTCACGTTTCTTGCAAACACGACGCATCCGTCCGTTCTCAGACAACCTGCATTTGTGGACGCGCCGGCGGTGGGAGCCACAGTCACGCCATACCCACAGTACCAGGCCGAAGACTTATCTCAGGCATGTGAGTGGACGCGTTTTGACTTAGCTCGACGAGAACTCGTGATGTCTTGACAGCCCGACCTACTGCATGCGTTGATGTCCTATCACGCGCCATGTCCTACAGCCTAGGGCGCCCGATATAATTGCGGATCATAGCTCCCCAATTTGTCGCGCTCAGAGACTGGTGCCCTAACGGATACAGTTAATTACTGAATGCATCCGCGACTCGGTCATGCGCCCAATTACTATCACGCACGGAATGGGCGCTGGTGCCTTCCCGGCCATGCAAGAGAGTTGCGCCAAGACGTAAAGGAGGAGTGTACGGTATGCAGCGTTCTCCCGAAGACTCACCGCACCGTTGATTAAAGTGGGTACGCCTTCGTTTCCCCACACCGATCTCCGGCTTGTAGCCACATCACAAAAGGTGCCAATCTGGGGAGGTGGCATCGCAATATTGCAAGATTGTTTCTAGGTTCGCGTAGGTACTCCATCCTTGCCACTCCTGTCCCTTGGCCCCCTTCTGCATGGGTACACATTCTACTCCGCCGTGTGAGCTCGCCGCTAGCTGACCTGCGTGCAATACCCAGATAACGGCGTGGTCGGGCGCCTCATGAGTTGGGACGCCGGCTTTCGTCGTATGTACGAGTCAGTACGACGAGAGGACCTAATAAGCCCCCAAGTACCCGGACTTTGGCCACGAAGAACGTGTCGGGCGAGCCGCGCTGTGGGATTCGGCTGCGTTGCACTCACACCACATCCACACGTAAATCCTAACATGAGCTTCGGCGTTCTATGCGAACATTCGCAGCCCCGGCCTCGCTAACGATAACGACACACGAAGCCCCCCTGGCCGCGATCGAGGCTCGCCAACCCTGCCGGGCGCGCATTCCTCCCGCAGCGGCCTGCGTATGGCAGTAATTTCGAGCGAGCTACAACCGACCCCTCCACCACCAACACTGACCGCGTCGGCGGCACCTCAACTTCCGCTCCGGCACCGATCTCTCCGCTACTAGTCTCTGCTCGGCAGTTTTGTCACAACTTGAACTCTAGGTTTCACCGCGGTGTGCATACCGATAGCTCCTTTGAAAGGAACGGAAACCACGCTCACGTCGGTCAGGAGTCCCTATCTCGCCTATGGACCGCATGCGCCCCTGTGACGCCCACCCCCAGCCCTTGCGTGCCTCCTCGTTCTCTCAGCTTCCAAGTGGCGTCCTCGACGTCATGCGTCGCGCTCGGCTACCGAACCTTAACCAGGGAGGAGAAGGTGCACCCTCGGGGAATGAAGCCGATCTCCGCCAAAAACCCAAACAAAAGGCTGTAGCAATGGGGCAAACGCGGCCTGCGCCACGACGGGCTCGGCGTTAGCGCGGCAGGGACTATAGTCGGAAGCGGGGAAGTCGCGAAGCCACCAGTATTGCTGGCCCGGGCGAATCGTGAGGAGCACAGGTGCCTTCCCCCGTAGCCTGCAGCCACGTTCAGGTGCGACAAACAGGTTCAGGACGCAGCAGCAACCATTATCGATATCATTGATATTTGGATGACGACACGGGGAAACGATCGGCGCCGACGCTCGTTCTGCACGGCATTCCGGTAGTCACAGAGTACCGTATGACCAGGGCCATTGCACATTAGTGTGCGCTGACACCGCGTTGTTCCGCGACATCCTCACTGCGCGTTAGTAGGAAATGACTTCGATCTCGTTTGAGAAGGCGGATTGCTCATGCCAAGTATTACGCGACAGCGTTCATACAACACTCGAAACGCGCAGCAGACGATGTGATGCCTTCAAACTCGCGTTCGCATTCATAAGAAGTTAATATGCAGACGGAGGAGATATCTAGAGGATACATGGCTTGGTACTGCTCCGCGCCCTTGTCGCGCTGTCCTTCGCTGTGTTCAATATTGGGAGTACAACATACGGAACTCACGGACCCAGAATGGAACAGGGGGTGAACTGATAAGGGTGTGTGAAGAGACAGGACCGGAGATGTGGCCGTGAATCTCGAGTGGGGGTAGGACGCATTGCATGATAGCATAGCAATACGAGGATAGGTGGAGGGGGTCATGGTATCGGAGCAGGAGTGGAGGAGGTATACGGAACCACGATACTGATTTGGTAGGGAGAGATGTTCAAGGTGAACGGGGCAAAAAAGTAATGTGTTAAGCAAACAACAAGCATCGAAGTTGATGGGGGACGCAAACGCGATTGCAAGGGGCCCAAGGGGAGTCGGTCCGCCGGAGGATGAATTCAATCAACACGCACGAGTCTCTGCCCCATCATCACGCGTCCTCATCCCGAGGCCGCTTCGCCCCTGCACCGTCCGACGACGGCGCTGGCGAAGCCGACACCGACTGTTGCTGTTGAAGCTGCTGCTGCTGAACCGCGCCCGCCCCGGTGACACCCACGACAAGACCCTTCAGCCACCCGTTTTCTCTCCGGAGCGCCTCGCATTCCTTCTCGAGCTCGCTCACGCGCACCTCGAGCTCCTTCGCCTTGCGCTCCAGAGCCGCCTCACGCTCCTTCTTCTTCAGGCGGAACCGCGCAGACGCGGCAGTGTTGCGGCGCCGCTTGTCCTCTGCGGCGTTCATAGGCGTTCCGGACGGCTTATCCACGGGGGAGTCAACCGCCTGGGGCGACATGGCCTCTGTCGTCACCGAAGAGATGGAAGAACGCGACGTACGTGCACGCTTGGCGGTGGTCGTTGGGGTAGATGCAGGGCTCGGCGCGTGGGGAGGTGATTGCGCGGGGGCAACATGGGCCGAAGAGGGTATAGGCTGCGAAGACGCGGGCCGGTAGGTCGACGCGTGCAGCGACAGGAGCTGGGCGATGGTGTTTGCAGCGTTGGGTGCCTGGGTGGGCAAGGGTGCGGGGGGCGCCATGAAGGGGTCGATACCGAAGCCGGCCAAGAGGGAATTGACGTCAAAGGGGGGTAGCTGGGGCTGGCCGGGATTAGCAGCCGAGGGGAGGATGGAAGGGAGGACAGTGCCCATCACGACGTTCTCATGCGAGTGGGTCTCCGCGATGCCACTGTGCTGTATATCTTCGTCGGGGTCGTTGTAGCGGTCGGAATCATCCTCGCCGCTGTCGTCAAGCGCAGTGCGCTTCTTGCCATCAACAGACTCCTTTTCGCAGCTCGGGTTTTCGCCCGGGCGGTTAGAGTGGAGCGGTTCGTCGGACTGGAAATTCAGGTTCGTCCACAGATCAAGTTGAGCATTTAGGTCGGGGAAGGGTGGGACGGCGAGGAGGTCGGCGTCCGAAAGGTATGGATTGGACGGGGGGACGGGGTGGACGATGTTGAGACCTTGGAGATTGGATGGTGCCATTGCCTATACAGATTTGCGTGCTCGGGCGGCAGCTTCTTTTGCGTGGAAGGCGGCTCCGAGGAATGGATATGGCTATGCTCTGTGTTCCAGTCAGCCATGTTGGGCTTTGCAGCTCGTGCGGTGTGCACCATACCAGAGGGGCCGCCGACAGGCCAGGAGAGAGAGCAGGCGGGGCAGAAAGAGAGGAGAAGCAGGAGGTGAGGGTGGGATGATGGTGGTAAGAAGAGGAGCAATCACTATCTAGCCGGCCGCTGAGTAAGGGACGTCCTTCGGACAGCGGCGTCCCGGCAGCCTCTCCCAACTGTTCCTCCGAAGCGCGCGTCGGCGCGTCCGCACCACTCCTTGGCGTCGCCTCATCCTTCATCCCCACCTCCTTCATCTTCCTCTTCGCAATCTTTGCATGCATTTTACAAGCCACCCAGAGATCACTCATGCTTACCGTCCACAGAGAAAATACAGCCTGCGCTACAGCCCGTGTTTCACATCCAGCACGCGGAGTTCACGGAAACTGATCGACCAGAGTCAATGTCCATCGATTGACCCAACAGATCGGCTTGGGAAAACCACACCGCGACTCCCCGCCCCGCCCTGTCTGAACATGGCGACACGAATCGTTCTGCCACCGCGCAGGAAGGCGGTCGGCGTCGGTTATCTTCCATACGACATCCAGGGGCGCAATTGCGAATGTGCATTTGCGCGCAGCCCGATACCGACCGCCGTCTCCTCTCGACCGTCGGACCGCGTCGGTATATACTCCGCCCGCCTCCCGACACATGCTAGGGCGTGCCGTACAAGCAATCCCATCGTGGCCGTTGGAAGCCACAGAAACCCACGTTTCGTGGGATGCACGAGGCTCCGTCCGAGACCCAGGACGTCAGCTGCCCCTCAGCTCTCACGAAGGTCTGTAGGAGCATGCCTCTGTCCGTGCCTGCACAGCTGTGTCGGGTCAACGGTCCGGCGGGACGAGAAACCGCGCAGATAATTTGGCAAGACCCAGAGCGCTCTAGAAGAGAACTTGAACACCTGTCAGCATATGACGATGGGGGCTTGTGGACTCTCTACAGGGATAGTCTGTATTACGGATGCATAACGCAGTGGAATACGGAGTCCGGAAGGGTAATAAGATATTAGGAAGGTGATGGACAAGTTGTCACTGCAGGGTAGGGGGAAAGTTATATACGGCTGCCTAGCTTCCACTGTGTTCCTGGATATCTCTCCTAACTAACTCCTACGATCTACAAAGCAAGAGAGAGCTCAACATAACGTGTCGGTTTGTCCATCGGTCCGTACCGTCACCAATATGAAGAATGTTTTCCGCGCCAGGCCTGTCGTCCTACGGGCAGATGAACATTTACCTCACAACAGCTGCTTCCAGCCCGCGTCACGGCACTTCTTGACGAGCCGCTTGACCTCCTGCGATCGTGCGCGAGTGGTGACCAGCAGGGTATCGGGCATGTCGACGATGACCAGATCATCGACACCAAGCATCGACACCAGCCTGCCAGAGCCCGGCACCACGATGCCACCCGCCGCCTGCTCCGTGACAACTGTGCGACGTGAAGGCAAGAATGATCAGCGAACGGCGTGACACCAGGCTCTAGCCGAACTCACCCAGGCCGCTGTCGCCAAGGATGCGGGGCTGGTTGGACTCCGCGGGCAGGAGGTCCGCGAGGGACGAGAAGTCTCCGACGTCGTCCCAACCTATTATGCACGGAATATGGTTAGTTTGGCCACAACACCCGAGCGCTAAAACAACGCAAACGAGAGCGGTCGAGCACACTAACCGAACGTAGCCGGGACGACCGCGACGCGGCGGTCCATCGACGCCGGTTCCGCGACGGCGTGGTCAATCGCGATCTTCTCTAGCCCGGGCCAGACCTCGTCCAAGACGCGCTGGCGCGTCTTCTCGTCGTCCCACGCGAGGGCGATCTTCTCCAGGCCCTCGTGCAGCTCCGGCTTATACTCTTTGAGAAGCTGCATGAGGAACGCCGCCTTGGTCACGAACATGCCCGCGTTCCACCGGTAGTTACCCGTCTTGATGTACGCGGCCGCCGTGCGCGCATCTGGCTTCTCCTTGAACGAGGATACGAGCCGTGCGTTAGGCGCGTCGGAGAGGCCGAGCTTCTCGCCTAGGCGAACGTAACCGAAGCCGGTCGAGGGGTGCGAGGGCGCGATACCGATCGTGACGAGGTAGTCCTTCTTCGCGACCTCGACGGCTTCCGCGACTGCAGCGAGAAACGCGTCGTCGCCGGATATCATGTGGTCAGCAGCGAAGGAGCCGATGATCGCGTTCGGGTCGCGCACGGCGAGGATCGCTGCCGCTAAACCGATGGCGGCCATCGAGTCCTTCGCGCTGGGCTCGCAGAACAAGTTGTGGGGGAGAAGGTCGGGAAGCTGCTCCATAATACTTTTGACATGTGCAGGACCAGCGACGATTGCGGTACGCGAAGCAGAGGAGAGCGGAAGGAGACGATCCCAGGTAGCTTGGATGAGCGACCGGCCCTTGAGCGTGAGGTCGAGCAGGAATTTCGGATGCCCCTCTCGCGAGAGGGGCCACAAACGCGTTCCAGCTCCACCGGCGGGAATCACAACCCAGAAACCAGGAATTTCCCGTATGCCGAAGGGAAACTGGGTGAGCGCGTTATCGCTTAGCGGCGAAGGGACGTATAAGCTAGGCGGTACCGCAAGTTGCGGGATTGAGTTCGGAGTGAGGAAGGGGGACTTGGCGCGGAGTTGAGGGCTGCCAGGCGCAGGAGTCTGGAAGCCGGGCGTACCGAGTCTTGAGCCGTTGTTGTTCTATGATCACACGTTTATGTTAGCATTACTCATTGCTTCCGCTGGCTGTCAGAACAGGGAGTGACCATTGGCTATGTATTCTGGAGTGCCGCACTCATGCCGCTAGGGTCTGCCCGCCACATTTTGATCCATATGATCTTGGACAGCTGGTCAGGAAGATAATGTCTCGCGCGCGGTAGAACCGCTCCGACCGTTCGCGCGCACTTCCAGGTTGCGTTTGACGCATCCATGTGCAGCAGGCTTCCGTAACATTCTGCTGCGGACAAATCAGCCGTGCACCGGCCGCTCTGCGTCAATCGAGCTGAATCTATCCCCACTCTCACTGCGTGCAGCCGTGGAGGCATGGCCAATTTCCAAGAGGCACTCCGAATGCCCCGAGTAGCCTGACCGTCCTCCCGAGCAAGCCCCCAGCTCGCCACAGCATTCAGTGCGGGATATGGCGGGACCGGATAGCGCCAAAGTGAAGCATATGCGGGGCCCGAGCTGCACCGGAAACTATACTCGTGCGCGGCCATTGTGGCGGGCGGAGATGAGGAGAGCAATCCGGAGAGCAAGACGTACCAGACCCTCCCGGACCTGACGCTCGAGGCTCGCGTTCGCCTGACGGAGCTCGTGGCATTCGGAGCGGAGCTCAGCGATCTCCAATTGCTTAGCACAGACGGTGGTCAGCTAAGTGCAATGTTCACGACGCTGTGCGGAGGGGTACTCACCGACTTCTGCACGGCTTCCATGATCTGCCTGAACATGAACTCGATCGGGGCGCCAACACTAGCCTGCGCTGCAGGAGCGGAGGTCGCGGACTGCGCGGAGAGGAGAGACATGTTGCTGATCTTCGTCTGGCAGTGGCTCGGAGACTGTGGGGGTAGAGATGAGAAGGACGGGAGGGATGTGGTGGCAGAGTTAATGCAGCTTGACGTGTCCACTCTCCCTGCGTGTCTGTACAGGACCGCGCTAGGCGCTCGACTGTGGGCGGCACCGGCCGACTTATATCACACGTGGGAACTCACCTATATTATTTGACGGGAGTCTCCGGCGGCGACTCTCCGCTATAATGTTATGCATCGGCCTGGCACGCCTTCAAGCATTTCGCACGCACCGTGCAAACAACTCCTCCACCATCTGTGAATCCCCGTGCTCTACGTTGACATGTACTAGAAGAAGACAAAGGGCCGTCTATCCAACAGCGAACCACGTCGAATCGGCCGTGCTGCGAACGCGAAGGCATACTAGCGGTCAACCGAACCTTTCGTTGAGTAGGCCTCCACAGCCAGATATATTGGTCATACCCACGCTTCCCGCACTTATCCTTACGCAGCGGTTTCACCAGGTTTCACTGAAGACATCACAGTCGGTGAATGTAGCGGCGGGTACCCACTGTACGGCGGAGAGCAGGGCGCGGCGGAGGGGCTACGGTGATTGGCTCGTGGGGGTTCAAATAAGGGAATCGCACGTACATCAATCAGCCGGATTCCGCCTGTGGTATTACGCTTGTCAATGTGAGGAATGAAGGCGGTCTAGTCCAAGACTAGGACTGACCTCGGGGAGCCTCGAGGACCCAAGCAACAACCAGTCGATTGCGAGCTCACTATCGTATGGAGTCAACGTGCTACCAGTCGGGTCTCAATAACCCGCTTTCACCCAATCTGTCGTAGTACGACGATTTCATAGAGGCTAATCTGGTCAACTGACGTCGGTGTACCAACGACGCGGCGCGATCACCTTGGAGGCTCTTGTTTGCGACTTGTGTCGCCCTGCGGAGATAGTTTCATTCTCCGCTCTCCCGTCGGCCACAGCGGATGTGTCTTGTTTGACTCCTCTCGACCAGTCTGCTCGTGCGAACTGTCTCTACGACGACATCAAGTCTGGCCACGGCCTGCCTGGAGACTTGCAACATGAGAGTACGTAATGACATCTAGTGAAGCGCATACTTACCTACCAACGCCCGCTGTCCAGCTACCACTCATACCAGAGGCGATGCGGAGCAGGCGAATGTGCTTTGTCGCGCCCCAATAGTGACTCTGTGGAAACAAGCTGTACGTGCGACTCTTCAGCAGTGTGTATTGTCCTTCGTCAGGTGACTGGGGGCATGCAGACGTACGCTGTCTAGCAGTTTGCCATCATCATCGCCGATCTTGAGGCGGAGCGGATGACAAGCTGGCACCGTGCAAATCCGACGGCATCCATTCGTGGGGGAGCTCGTCGACGTCGCTTGCTTGACTGCGGTAGGTCGTTTGAAAGAAACCCTGTTCTCCAGTCGAGCGCGAGCATCGACATGCTGGCTGGCGCGACACAGGATGGCATAGAGAGGGGCCGTGAGACGAAGAGGGGGGAAAGTATGCTCTGTCCTCGCTCAACGCATGAGCCGCCAGGACAGTGAACGGGAAGTGCCTTGCGGCCTGCCCAGAACGGCATCGAGCCCTCTTCTCCGCTGGAACCTTCCGTCGTTCGAGCATTTTAAAGTTCGCCTTGCCTGTTGTTCGACGCCGCATGATGGTAAACTGGCCGACAGGCTGCAGACCCTCGCGAATCCTGGGGTCTCGGGCCAACGATGGCGTCCATCGACCGCTCTCGCCGCGCGCATGCGGGTAATCCTCCCCGACGACCCGTACCCCGACCTTCGATCCTGTCCTTCTGGCCCGTAGCGAGAACCGGGGAGGTCCGATCTGCACCATAATGCATGCATGTGACTGCATGCCTGTGTGGCCCAGAAGGACGAAGAAGAGCGATCTCTCGTTAGGACAAGTGGGGATGAGAGAGTCCGCGGCGACCAACCCCACGAACTAGGAACAAGGGTGGTACTCTGGGCTGGGAGAGCTGCATAGAAGGCCGCCACAACTCGGCGAACACGATGAGGGGCGTCCGTAGGCCTTCGTGGGCAGTGGGGGGTCGCGCATGGCGGTGGGGAGAAAGAGGACCTCGGTGTTCACGAGCCGCGCACACGGTCAATCCCAGCCAGGCCTTCTCCAACGTGACGCCCACTCGGTGCAAACTCTAACTCATACAATCTGCACCCCAGACCTTCTTCACGTCTCCTGCCAAATGGCGGCCGCTTTCCCGAATATATTCTATTGTCCTCGCTGCGCGCAAGCAAGGGTAACGGCTCCTTTATACCAGCATCTGGTGACTCATCGGGGCAATCTGCCGTAACGCTGGGGCCGGAAGTAACTTCGAGGGTGGGCTAAGCATAGTTTGCCGAGTATCTACTAATCCCTGATTTCCAATGTAACCTAATATGTCAAGCACTCCTTTCAGTGATCTTCCGGAATATCCGGGTCTTCGATACGAAACGAAGCTATATACCGCGAGGAGAAGTGCACCAGACCGGCGAGATGACACATTTCGTGCGTGTCGCCCTCCAGCTTGTACCCATGAGACTAACTCGAAACTTCACAGAAGGCAGTGACTCCTTTTCGTTATGCCATGTGTTCTGGCACATCCATAAGTGCTGTTGGTCGTCAATGTTCAACTGGTGGCCCTCAGTACCGACATTTATCATGCGATACGTTTCTGGCTGCAGTTTCGCCCCGACGGACAGGGCCTATTGGTCAAATATAGCGGCTCGAGGAAGCGCGATTCTCGCCCTCGATCACCTTCTTTGCGCCTCGTTTCTGGACGCACGCCTTGCTACCGTTCCATCCTTCAGCCAATGCTAGCCATGCTGGTCGCGGGATGCAGTGGGCGGTGGGCTTTCCATATGCATCCTCTTCTCAGCAAGCGCGGACTAATCGAGCCGACGAATGTGGACGGCTCCATCGGCGTGCAGTTTCGGGACCTTTGCAAGGTGCCAGGTTCTCACTATTCGTGTCACCGCATCATATCGTACGTTCCTCACGGTTCTTATCGCATTTGGGCTCGCATACTGAACCACAAAACTGTGTGAGTAACATAAATAATATTCATCTATCAACACGCTGAGGGAAGGAACATTCTACGAACAGGTCATGAGGGGTGTTCTTCGTATCCAATAGCTACTTTCTCGAAAGGTGGCTTCTAGGGCGGAGTAACACTCCAATCCCGGTTTCCAGTTCGCACCATATCGAGACGCATGCCCACCAACAAGTGCCCCCGATCCATGGGCGTCAGGAACGACGTCTTCACCTGGTGGCGGCCTGCGCGCGGATGCGGAAGGTGTCTTGATATCTCGAGATCTCGCCCTTCCGGAAAAGATACGCCTATTCGTGGATGGATGCCCTCACGTCAAGTGTACGTTTGCCTTACGCGTGCACCAAACTGAGTACGGGGTTTCAACCTTGATGTATTTTTGAGTGCGGCAGACCAACGTGTAGAGGTATATTGCAGGTAAGTCCAGGCTGTCACACTCTCTCGCGCTCACTATCCGTGCCATGGCCTAGAGCTAGATCACCAGAAGAGCCGTCACCGTCGATGCAAGCGTTCGGCGCCCACAATTCTACAATTGACGCGCTGCGCACAACATCCCGGCACGTGAAGGTAGAAGTTAGCGGCGCCCGTCAGGTCGATTCCTGCTGGCTGCCAGTTCGCCTATCAGCTTCTATCGAACAAATAGCGGGCTCCTGAGGAAACTGCACGCGCCGGCGTTCTCGGAGCTAATCTTAAAACTATAACTCGTGATGTTCTCGACTATCGCGCGGGCGAAGCTGTGAGGGGCGTGGTCTAGGGCGACCCTAATTCATAGCAACCGCCCACGCTCGCCCTACAAATAGGTGCAGGTTTTCCTATCCCCCATACGGATAAGTCAATTCGAACATTCCCAGATTGTAGAAGGCGATCGCGAACCGTGCTCCGGCGCGCGAGCGGCTCAAGGGTCGACTGGGGCGTGGGGCGCATTCAGGCCGACCAGGGCCCAGGTTTATCTACAGCACCTAGCCGGTCTGGGCAGTGACGTTGGGCGCAACATGGAAGCTATAACGACATGTTTTCACGTCAGATCGTACATAGCTTGCAGCCCTTGAGCAGAACAGGGGTGAGCGAGAATACTGATCGTGGTTTGGCTATGCTTCGGCGGTTCCGACACAACGCGCAGGGTCGCCAGCCTCGGCGTCGGGCCGTGCGTTCTCGATCCCCTGCTCGCGCCGGCGGTTGTGGACCCTAATCTCAACAGTGCCAAATAGATGGTGTCCTCATGGTCCGCGATGGACAATTAGAGCAAAGTGTCGATCGACTGAGGACAGCAAGTCCATGCCGATGGATCGATCATCTGGTCGTTTCAACAAGGTCACGTCCTCTTTCACTTATCTGTGACATAATTGTAGCCCGCGTGGGCTTCAACAGACTTTACTGGCCGCATGCTGATAAAAGTTGTGTATGTATACGATATCAGGACTCATCGATCGGAAGTTTGAATAACCCGAGAAGGCGGTGGTCGTAGCGCTTGTTTGAGTCGATCGAGCGCCGCGGGTAACCGTCTTCGTCGTGGCTAGCGATTGCAAACTCGTGCACTTCGAGCATCTGAACGCTTACCGTTGCAACGCTCATCTCTTCCCTTCGGGCACGTCAGGACCGACAATAGAGTGGATCGAGGTGGAAGGGCCCGGGTCCCATCCGCTATTCAGTACTAGTGTGTAATGCTGGCAACTTCGACTCTCGTCCCTCATGTTATTCGCACGAGCTTCGCAAAACGGCATATACGACAAGAATGGATATGGGATCACATACAACACACCATTTCCGCCGGCGGCTCAGTTGATATCGCGATGTGCTTGTCAGCCGGGACCGTGGCATGGCCCTCAAGTGGGACATCTCTAAGAGTGTTCTTACAGGCGCACAATCCCCATTTAGGTACCGACATACGGAGCGACTCTCCACACACAAGAAGTCTTCTCGGTATAGACTCTTCGATTGGGTGCTGGTTTGCAGCCGTCCGAGGCTTTCTCATCTTGTCACAGAACTGCGAACTTCGATATCTTTCGTCAGGTAAAGTCGACACTGAAGAAGGAACCTTTGTGCAGTTCGTCAGCTGGCACACTACCTGTTGTCCTAAAGCGCGTGCGTGACGTCTTTCCCTGCGAAGGCTTGTGATACAGCCACTCACGGTTCCGGGTTCTGTTCAGGATATGCAGTCACTTTCTTCAACCTTTCCTCTGTCGCGAGTATTGTAATCAGAGTGCTTTCTCGCGGCGCCACTCGCGATCACGATCAGGATTGCTCGTCATTCATCGAGGATTTAGAGTTGTGCCACTGATTCTGCCCTGGCTTCCATGCCGAGAGGACCCCATTTCTACAGAGCTTCCCGCTTCCCACACGAGAGGACCAGGACCAGGAGCACTCGCTTTCCAGCCGTTTGCCATGCAGCTGTCTACAGTGCGGTTCCAATCGCCGTCCGGATTTCTCTCATTGCCTGTGAAGACTGAAATGCCTCTGAGCTTCTGCCACACCGTGCCAGCGCACTTTGATCCAAAGGTGGATATTGATGGATCATGCTTCACTCTTCGTCTCCTCGCGATGCCAGGAGCCGTTGGTAGAGGCGTGGTAAATCTCCGGAATACCAGACAGGAACGTGATCTTTCACCTGCCATGAGCCGCGATGGACACTCGTATGCTATGTCCGCACTAACTTCTGACAACTCCACTTACGCAGGGGCTGGTGATGTGCCCGCGCAGACGTGATGCCATGGGCCCATGTGCAGAAGAGCACAATCTCTGTGTGCCGGTAGTCGCCTTACCGTATGGGGCATTCTGGGACGCATGCTTTGGCTGAGTGCATGAAGACGTGCCCAGGACCCTACACTGGCGTGCGCTGATGCGAATGCCAGAAGCGAGCGCTCGTCTTGGCAACAATTAGTTCACCTTCCCATGGGCAGACCTCCTGCGTTCGCATCCCGCGTGCCCGTCCGTGGTTTGCTGCTTGTAGCCTATCTCAGGATCCGGACTCCTAATCAAAGGTGGCCCGACGCACCGTCACGGTGCGTCATGCCGAACGCTCATTTCCCACCAGAACCGTGCTAGCTCTGTGCTTCCTATCCTTGTCGGGCTGCGAGCACACGTCGAAGTTCCCTTCGTACCTCCATCGCCTGGTTTCCTCGCACGCAGGCTGCGGGAGCGCGTAGTACCCACGCTGCGCTGTCGCACTTGCCAATCAGGTAAAAAGTGCAGGGCACAGACGTGTTGGAGTGCACTGGGGGCTTCGCGCTCGCGCTGGCGTTCGCATCTGTGTCCGTCGGCTGCCGTTTATCTGGGCCTCGTCGTACCCGGCCGGCCTGCAAGGACACCCGTTAGAGCTGAGCTGCATTGCTGTCGCGACGCCCGGATCGCACCATGTTTGCAGTGGGAAGTAGGTCTGAGGGTTTAGTCTCGCGGCCAGTGCGGCGTTTGGTATGCCTATCTGGCTCTCACTCTCGTTAAGGAAGGCGCACTGCTGTTTGCTCTAGGCATTGCACCTGGGAAGCTTGTCGCTTAGAGCCAATTTTACCTTCGTCCTTCAAGTTACCTCTTGCAGCTGACCGCTCTGACCGCCGACAATCAGTTACATTAGCGAGGTCATACACGTTCGATAGCATATCTGATGGCATACATAACAAGACACACCATGCTTCCAGAAAGCTGATACACGTACACTGAGGATAGCCGGCCAAGGCATCGTCCGCGCGAGATATTACGAATATCTATGTGGAGAGGTATACTCGGATCCGAGAGAGGCGTGAGTAACTGTTCATACAAGAGGGAAAGGCTGATGGAAAGCAAAGGGATGAGAAATGTGCATGTTGTGTGAGATACAGAGTCCTCCAAGGACGAGGGATCACGAGTGTCATTACGAAAACCATTCAGATAGTTATAGCCTGGAATTGGCGGAGCGCCTCATCGTCGATGGGATCACGAGCTTTCGGTGAAATGTTTTGAAGATACTCCAAAGGCGCAAGGCGACGGTCGGATAGCACATAGCCAGGAGGAAGGGGTACAGCAGGAGGGATGTGATTTGGCGACGGCGAATGTGGAGGGGTGATGGGAATCGAGTGGTACGCCAGAGCCTCGGGGCTCAACGACGATGAGGAAGATGACGAGCCGTCGTAAGTGAGCGGCGGTAGGATAGGCTCCGTAATGCCTTGACGTACGTTCCGTCGCGCGCCGTTGTTCCGCGCACAGACGTAACGATTACGGGGCACTTCTATCGCCCGCAGGATAGGGATGTCGTCGACGGTTTGGAGCGACTCGAGCGATTCTTGTGTATAATAGGCATCTTGCGCGCAAGCATGTCAATTTCATTGCGGAAAGGCGGACGCGATGTCACATACTGAGGTGCCACTTTCGCGCATTCCGAGGATAGTCGATGAAGACGGAATATGTCTGCTTGATGAGTTGAGGTTCACTGCAAGAGCGATGCGTAAGTTGCAGTGTAGAGTACATGGTGGCAAGATCGATGACGAACTTACGTTCTGACGTTGTTTCGATGGAGAATTGAAGACCGGGTCGGACTATCTTTCTCGTAGTAGATAAGAAAGTTCTGAGGAACGTCAATGGACAAAAAGCGGACACGGCCACTAGAGTGCACTTACGTCGCGAGCCCTAGAAGGACCCCAACTACGGCCCTCGGTAAATCTCTGAATCTCTTGACCGGTGGCTTCTAGGGGGTTGGAGCTACGCTCTTCCCAAACATAGATGCAACCTGGTCGCAGAGCAAGACGTTCCTCATCGGCGAGACGGTGCATCACCATCGGTAGGTACTTGCATGCCACGGCATGGAGGATGATCTCGGCATCACGGACGGAGCGGATGCGCATGTTAGTGATAGTGGGCTGCTGTCTAGGAGACATGACAGAAGAGGGGATGGGGAGCAGAAGAGGTGGATGGGGAAGTGAGGGATGTAAGGCCGGCCAGGCGGGTATTTAAGAACGAGCAGGTCCGGGGAAGCAGCACATGGTGTCGGCAAAGACTAAGTCTCGAGAATGAGGCTCATAGGGCGCTGCAGGGCTGATAGAGTTCGGGAAGGAAGTTCTAACCCGGGGGAGCTACACGGGCAACGACCAGGAAGGAAGGGCTCTCGCCGTACAAGATCGGAAGCAGAGATCAACCTGCGTGCAGGCCAGACGCGCGCAACAGCTGACGATAGGCACGGCCAATCGCTGCTGAACCTAAACAGCCACGCGAACCTGCGGTTCTTGCGCGGCCGTGGCAGTAGGACACCTGGAATGACACGTTTAGCTCCCAGATTCCAGCGCTGCCAGATTGCACCATGAGCGATCATTCATTTATCTCCCCGTTCCATTCGGCAGACCTCCACTGAGGGCCATACCAGCGTCAGCTCTGCCATTGGCATCGACGTGAGCGTTGCGCTCGTGAATCGTTCTAGATCTTTGCTGACATGAAACCCGTTCATCTACCGTTCTGGCGCGAGAACGTACCGAGATCCGCTGTTCTGGAATGTGACCTGCTTGCCTTGAGAACATTGAGCGGCTGCTGCGTGACGGACGGACGATGGAAACGTTAACAACAAGGTTGTCTGGCCGGGAGCCCGCGTTGACGCGAGGCTCTCCCGCGCGCGTCTCTGGCACGAGTCGCTCTGTCGTCAAGCGCGGGCTTCGGCACACGATTATCTTCGAGGATGTGCAAACCCTGACATGCACTCTATAGGCCAGGAGCAGCACCCTCGCCCGTTGGCTTCCCATGCGACAATGGCTTGCCCAAGCCCCTTTGGCGCCTATGATAGTGGCAACGCGAGTCTGCTATAACACAAATAGTAAGGAGTCGTTCCCGCGAAGCTTTGATCTGGCACTCTCCTTCATGTACGATCCTCTCTGCGCACCTTCCATATCACACTCATCTATCCATACACGGTTTGGAAGTCGACCTAGTCTTCAGGGGCTGGCGGGAGTGACAGGTGGCAGATATAATTTCACATCAAATTGGCTTGCCCACGTCTGCCGTCCTGGAGCCCGCTAAGAAAGGCCAGATCTGTGACAGGTCGTACAAAGCTCGTGCCACTAGACGTCCAGCGTGGACATATATATGTCGTGACGTATGTCTCCTTCTCAAACCCACTTCTGTCCCCATCTGGTAAGGAACACATATAGCTCTATTATCTGATCTTCTGACCAACTGCAGTGCTCCTTTGTTTCACAAGCACAGATATGTCATGGGATCCCGAGCCATATTCGAACCCCGAGGAAATCCAGAAACAATGATATCGCACACTGCGGCTTGCTTCTGGAAGCACATCGTGTCTATCTCGCAGGATATCTGAATCTGTCATGATCGTGATCTCTTGTACTAGGTCTCAGAGTGTATCTCCTCGTCGGTCTCAGAATGCGGACCACAAATCCACAGGTCTCTTGATGTTCCTTCCTAGGTGCGATGTTCGTTCAGGAGACTTTTCAGCAAGTTGGGTGGTTCCTAAGAGTTCAGCGTCTAGCTGACTGGATCACGGCTGAGCGCTGACCCTTGTACGCGGATTATGGTTCTACCGCTAGGTCTAGTTGTGCAACAGCCTCTGCACGGTCCTCGACGAGGATAGCACGAAGTCTACGTACTCGCCCCTTAAGGTTCAGACTGCATACCAACTCTGGCATGGTTGGCCTTCAGTTGCATGGTTCTTGGAATGTGGACTTACGGCTCCGACACTTCTAGCTGCGAATGGGTCGATAGTGTAGCATTCGCGGCTGATAAGTCAGAAGGACAGTCCGTAAGAGGCTAGCACCCAGGCGTATACCTCACCCCGCTGCTTTGCACCCGTCGTATACGGCGGCAAGCTTCTTCAGCTGATCAAGCAGCTCCGACATCATCGTGTACCCACGCGATGGCCGTCTCCCTTATACTCCATTCAGACATTCCCTCTACCGGGGAGCTTTAGCACAAGCATCCGGAGGTGACGATCGGACGCTCGACGCCCATCGTATACATCTAAGTTCATTCCAACGAACTGCCAGTCGACCTGTGCTCGATACGCGTGTACGTCACCTCCTTCTATATCGTCGAACTTCTAGGCTGACGTTGCTTTTTGTATCACATGGCCTGGAAACCGTATGGTCACCTTGCACGTCCGGCGCTCGTTCAGGGAGGCTGCAGTGAGGACTATGTCTGCGGCATTGCGTGGGTAACGCCATTGAGTGCCAGCACCCTCGATCGACAAGGTTTCCTCGACGCATTGCCGGAGAGGTACGGCGCTCATAATCTGTGGAGCGTCCCTACTGATGCGCGCTACTGCACTGGTGCCAACCTCTCCACAGAGGCCGACCGCACGTTATATGACTCAACGAAACACATAATAATCTAGCGACAAGGAACTCACGCAGTCAACGCTCCCCAATTTTACGTGGGCGCCCCATGTGTTATCTGTCGCGATTTAGCGTTCTAACCCCAAGTCAGTTTTCGACAGTTCGAGAGCGGGCTCCATTCGTCGGCGGACGATCCGACAATTGAGTCCCACAAGCGTAGATGCGAACAAAGACCCTGTGGAACATCTCCTCGGCTGTCCTGCCCTAGGCCCAATGATAGAACGCGGTACATACCTGACAGCTCCCTGCAATGTGGCTGGTGAACCACCGAAACAGGTCAGGCCAATGACAACGGAATTGTGCTCCCACCGCCCTGCTGGCACTGATGACTTGGCATGCTGCTTATGCGCACAGTGGTCACTGATGGATCGCCGTGGCCGCGACCTAGGGTTTCGTTCTGGATCCGAAGACAGATGTCCGACTCCTCTCTCGACGGAAGTTCCTGGATCCCTCTCCGTTCTTATCACATCAACATATTCTGATTCGCTGCCATTGGCTGCGAGCATCGTGGGCTATTTTCTCATCTGCTCCCTAGGACGACCCCCAGCACACTATGAGTCTCAATCGCACTCACCACCTGTGTCCGGAGCATCGGCAGTCAAGACGCCAATAGACCGTTCCTGAGGGCGAGTAGGCCCATTCTGGCTCAACAGCACATTAGGCATGGTTTATTGATTCCTACGCTCGCGCTACTGAAGCTGGGATTCGGCGGGAACAATGCGGGTCCACTTCTCGGCTAACTCTCGTTGGAATTCCGCTCCGAACGTTGTCCGTCTTCTAATAAACCAGGGGACCTGTGGCGAGGTATGTCATGTTCACCATGGCTGCGCTTGCGTATTTGCTTACTTTCAAACTAGACACAGTGACGCACAAACTCCGCGTTGACGAAGTAACGGTTTGGTAGGTCCTGCGCCGCGCCGCATCATGGGTCCCATCTTCCCCAACCCCTGACTGCGGTGATGCCCTCGGTGGGTGAGTCGATTCATTGGACCTCATGTACAGACAACGAGGTCAAGGCTATCCCAATTAGGTGGGTATCGACTTACCATGTCCTGACTCAGCTGATGCGTCTTGTGCTTTCTCTGTCACCCTTCCACTGGGAATCATAGTATCACACCTATACATAGCGCCTACCGCCCGGCATGACGTCCGAGTCATGTACGTTTCTCTTTTGGTAAGGATCAACATACGCGTCCCTCCGTTAGGCTCGCATGCTTATCGGAATATGCTCCACCCGATAGGTGTCTTCGCTATCAAATGGTGCATGACATGCGCCCGTTTGGTCTTCTCATCCATTCCACCGGGCCCCGTCATTCACTCGCCTCAAGATTCCGAACAACCTCCGGCGGCTTCTAAGTGCCTGGCGCGCTTCTGTGCGACCACAGCGGGTAAGCGGCGTGCAGGACGCAGTTGCGGGTGCGCTCCTGGTCACTGCAGTCTGCCGTCGGGCTCGCGCTTAAGCACCAACAGGTGCTGCGACGATAGACCGGGTCCAATTGAAGCCGTGAGCTTGCAATTGCCGTTTCGAAGCAACTTGCTGGGAAATGATGGGCTACGGACCTCCTTACTGGTGCTCTCTTTCAGGGTCCTGTCAGGGAGAGAGAATCATGAGTGATCACGATTCGATGGAAGGTCGGCCTGCTTGACTTCTCTCTTTCTCATGTACCGACATGTTGGGCCGTCACTTCGTATCGTTCCCAGATGACGCATCGGTAGACATGAATGGCCTTCGTTCCAGGGTTCCCGAGACCGCAGAGCATGATGCGGAATCAGAGACGTCCCTCACGGTGTTGCGTCCGTGGAAGCCGAGAAACTATCGAGCCGCACAGACGGCGTGCACCATCGATTTTCATAGCCCAGGCGCGAGCCAGTTGGGGTCGCATCCTATTGGACGAGCTGACGTTATTCTGAGTTGACAGCGCCATCCATTCGTCCCAATCACTCCCAGGCGAGCGACTCTGCCTACCGTACAACAGTCACTGCCCGTCGGCTGTCTTGAGGCGTGAGTATGCCGGTTCATAGGTAGGTCGAGACCTTGCTTGTTCATCCTGATGCTGTAAGCTTCGTTCTCGTGTCCTCGCATAGCCGGTGACCTCGCTCCCCCTCTCAGCCCTATTGCCACCTAGAGTGGGACGGTCCTATATGTCGTCCGCCAATCACAGCGCACACCGCCCGCGGCGTCTCAACCTTCTGTAAGTGTTCTGACAGGCCGATCTGGATTTTCGCGGCGTCTCGTCACTGAGCTTTGTCTGGACTTTATAACCCGATATTCGACCTAAAACCTCTTCTCAGCGGCCCTCGGGGCGGATGACAGTACTGCCGAGCCACTATCGCATGTCGCAGTCTTGTACGCTGTGGGCGGCGCCAAGGTAATGGCTGGCGACGGGCTTCGGTGGCTTCGCAGAGCCTCACGCGGTGTCTTACAGCTACGAAAACATCCTCATTGCAATTTCCGTGGAGTCGTGTTGTACATGTGTATGGTGTCTCGTGATTGCAGTGCGTCATACCTCAGAATCCCTTGTTATGGCCACCTTTTTCGTAGAAATCTTCCAAGCGCTTGACGATGTGGTCAAGGGCTGCGAGCCATTTGTTGAGCTCCTCATTAAGCTTATCGGCAGGAACTGGAGGTCCTCCGGCAGGGTCAGCCGCGAGCTTCGTGTAGAAATCGGCACGATAGGGGCACGCCTTCATCGCGACCTGCGCGTCGAATAAGCGGTGTCATAATTAGTCACGACGCCCACGATCGCCACCGCGCGAATTAAGCCCCGTGAAGGCCATATCAGGAGACTGACCGAGAAGATGCCCTTTACGACGAAGTTGTGAAACTTTTTGAGCGTGCTCTCGTACGATTTGGTAAACGCCGTTGAGAGCTCCTCGGTTGGGTTCGCCTGCGCCGCTTGGAGGGCTTTGCAGGTGAAAGAGAGCCCGCGGAGGAGCCACATGAGGCCCTCGGTAGCGGTCCGCTTCTTCTCGCCCTTCTCGTTCACCACAAGCAGTTCTAGCGTCGAGGAATCGGCGGGGTGGGCATCGTACCGAGCACGGACTTTCTGGAGACGATCGTCTGAGCGCTATTTCGTCCAACCGGGAAGGAGAACTCACCGCGATGTTGCCCTTTAGGTCATTCTGAACCGGAATGAAGGCAGATGACCCCAGAAGGTCTAGAGGAGAGGAGAGGTGCATACGTGTTATCGACCTCTGGGTGTGACACGATCGCACATACCGAACAAGCCCACGACGCCCTGTGCAGCTTCGAGGAAAGCAACTGTATCGACGCCAGCGTCTGTGATCGGAACGTCCGCAAAGGACTGCAAGAGTTCAGCCCCGCATCATGGATGTCCCTTTGAACGCTCACCTTGACTGTCTCAAGATATGGTGCCATTGGTGTACGTGGGCGTTGGATGAAAAGGTGCTGGCAAGCGGCTGCACTACAGGAGAGATCCGTCGATCAGCCTGCTGTATCTAATCTAATCTCCATCCTCCCGCGCGCTGATTATAAGTATTTGCGTGTTCTTGCGTGCATCGCGAGCACCTGCGCCCAGTAGTCGGGCTCCGGTCAACAACATTAATTGCAATCTTGTCCCGCGATCCTTCGACTATCGCGCAAAACTTCCACCCAAACCACCCCTGGTAAAATGCCGCATGCTGATTCGGCCGTGATACCGTCAGGAATCGACAAGGCGGCGTTCTGGATCCACGTCCACGAACAGCTTAGCCACCTTCTGGCGGGTCAGCGCGATTGGGTATGTTTGCGTGTGTGTACTGTAAGCTTTCGCTGAGTTTTCGCCGCCTTCAGGTGACCAATCTGGCCAACGCATCGTCCCTCATCTTCAATGCGCTACAGGCCCTTCCAGACTTTGGCACGGGCGACCGCATGGTTAACTGGTGTGGTCCGTGTATAGCAGATTCCTTTCCTCTCACTTTGTCTCCTGAACGTCACTTATGCTCACTGTTTCGCGTTCTGTAACTCCAGGATTCTATTTGCACTCGGACCTCTTCCCCGCACCTCGACTCAGCCCTCAAACTCAAAAGCCGGCCAACCAATCCGCGCGACTTCTCCTCGGGCCGTTCTGCGGCAAGCCCGCCTGTCAATTCATTAATGTCTCGCCAGAGAAGGCGCGCGGCGTCTGCGCAGACGCATACTTGCAGAGGCTCACGGTCCTTGTCACGGACGTCAACGAATACCCCGGACACATCGCATGCGACGGCGAAACAAAGAGCGAAATAGTTTGCCCGCTGCTTCTTTCTATGCCCGGTCAGGAGTCCGAGCGCGCGCTCGGGGTTCTCGACCTGGATTGCCTTGCGCTCGCAGGCTTTGATGAGCGGGACAAAACTGGGTTGGAGAGGATAGCGAAGCTCGTGGTGGAGGCTTGCGATTGGTAGTAACTTATCGCTCGTGTAAACACAACGCGGGAGAACGTTGAATTCGACGTAGGCAGCCGCTCGAATGGATGGCGTCCAACAGTCCGAAACGTCAAAACACTCTTCGTTTGAAATATGCATTAACTTCCTCCGCAATTCCAAGTTTCAGAAGACAGACACCGAGCATGTTGACAGAATCAACCAAATGGAACGGGTCCTCGAGACGCCGCTGCAACTGAATTCTACTGCTGTTCCTGCCTCTGCAACTCAAGGAAGTCCTTATGGCGCTTGTCCTGCAGCTCCCATTCCTTCTTCGCCTTCTTCGAGGCGCTCTTGCTGAGTTCCTTGCCCTCCCCGTCCGTAAGAGGCAGACCATTCTCGTCCCAGCTCCCATACGTGCCCTCAGGCACATTCGGCGGCTTCAAGAACTCCTGCGGAGGCACACGCCCCTTCTCGAGCGCTGCTATGCGTTTCTGTCTCTCCGCTTCTACGGCAGCGGCCTTCCGGGCAGCCTTCGCTTCTGCAAGTGCCCGTTTCTCATCGCGAGCCTTGATGAGCTCCGCGGGTGGCACGAGTTTGACAAGCGCTCTTCCGTCTGTGAGATGAACCCGATTTCCCCAGAGTGCGGAGGCGCACAACGCATGCAAACCGTAACATTGGGTCGCGGTATGATGTCGTAAGGTCATCGTATCATTCCGTGGTCGGTGGCGTTAGGATTCCAGGGTGCCAGCGTCAGTTAACCAATTTGATGAAGGCAGCTACAGGCAATTGCGCATCCACACGCCACGCACCTTCTTGGTCGTCTAGGGCAACTCCCAGCGGCACAAGGTCGTTGTCGCGTAACTTGTCGGACAGCGCCAGAATGTCCTTGAGCGTGTTCTCACCCTTCGCGATGGCAAGTCTCCGGACACCGTCGCGGAAGGAAGACAGCGTCCGGAGATATGGCATGAGTACTTCCTCCCGCTGACATCACGAAGTCAGCCGTTGTACAAAGTCGGGGTCCTGCTCATGGCAGGAGCGAATTGGCTAATCTTACGTACGTTGACAGTGCCCTCATCACCATTGCGTTCCTGGCCCCAGCCAATCTCCGTCGTCTCACCCTCGCCGAGGCCGAACATGCGCAACTGCTCGCCGACCCAGCGCGCCACGCGCTGCACAAGCCCGATCTCGAGGTTGCCGCTGGATGCGTTGATATAGACGTTCGTACGCGACACGAGCTCGCGGAGGACGTTGATCGCTTGAGGAGTGTTGAATGAGTCGCAAAGAGCGGCTCGGAAAGCCCCTTGACTTGCATGGAAACTGTGTGTCGAAAAGGATGGGAATTGATCAGCGCATGATGTCACGATTGCGGGTTCGCCTTCGCTGCTTATCGCCGCTACCCGGGAAAGGTGACGATGGGGAACAGAGAAGGGAAGCGCGCATTAGACAGAGGAGTCAAGGGAGGATCCATTCACCTGTCCGTCAACTCCCGCTCTGCCTGCTGGAAGCGGTTCTTGCCGTCGAGGGAGGGGCCCTCCGCCTCTGCGTGGGAGACGAGCGCTTTGATGTTCGTGAAGAAGTTCTGCAGCGAAGCCCGACAAGACCGGGTCAATGTCCAACGTCAACGGTACTGCGCAATCTGTGTATGTGCCTACGTGCGGTGTTACCGCGCTCCGTGCCACATTGTGGCAAGACGCACGCCCACACGGGATTTGACAGCATACGCAGTGGAGAGAAAAGATTTAGATGAAAGAGAAAAGACGCACATTGAATGCAATCTCGATATTACGCACTTCGCCGGTCATGAGCGACTCGGTGAAGTCGACCTTCGAATTCCATAGCTGCGTCAGGAACGCCAGGCGCAGTTGGCGCGCGGTGTATCTCTGTAAGATTTCCTGTGGAAAGAGAGGCAAGTTCACGTCGAACATCCAATGTCAGAGACGCTCTCCATAGAGCGAGGAAGATGGCAACAAAGCAGCAGCAGGCGCGCGCCCGGATCTGCTTCGACCCGGCAAGACGTGTGGAACACTTACATCAATCGTGATGAAGTTTTTGAGCGATTTGCTCATCTTCAAGCCTTCGATGTGCAGATGGCCCGTGTGAAGGAAATAGTTGACCCACGCATGGCAGTTGTGATACGCCTGTGACGTGACGTAACGGCCATCAGAAGGGACAATGCATATGAACGCAACAAATTACGGTGGCTGGCATAGTGCCAGCACTGGCCGTAGCGACGGTTCACGCACCTCTGACTGAGCCATTTCGTTATCGTGGTGGGGGAATGCCAAATCAATGCCGCCAGAATGGATGTCCATGTTATCGCCAAAGATAGCGGACGCCATGACAGAGCACTCGATATGCCAACCCGGCCGACCAGAGCCCCAGGGCGACGGCCACGATGGCTCCCCAGGCTTCGACGCCTTCCACAATGCGAAGTCCGCAGGAGAGCGGCGGCCGGTCGTCACAGAGAGCGCGCCCTCGCCTTCCTCGAGGAGCTCCGAGTTGCCCTTGCTCCACGGCTCGAGCTTCGCGTACGAGTGATTGTCGGACCTGTCAAACGCCCGAGTGTCAAAGTATACACTGCCTTCGACCTCGTAGCCGTATCCATTCTTGACGATGCCCTCAACAAAATCAACGATCTCGGGCACGTATTCCGTCACACGCGTCAGAGTATCAGGGTCGCGGACGCGAAGGCGGCGCATGTCTTTGAAGAACTCGGTCTCCCAGTACGCCGCGAGAGAACGGAAGATCGCATGATCGTTGACCGTGCTGCCAGACTGAATGGATGTCAGGGCGCTCGCATCCTTGTTCTTTGTGAAGCATGGAAGCGGAAATCTTACCTGCTTGTCTAATGCTAGCGCCAGGACGTCTTTCGAAACGTCTATCAGGGAATGGGCCACCTCCGCACCAGTCTGTCCGGATTGGAACTGTTTTTCGGCTTGAACAAGAGAATTGTAGGTTACATTCTGGGACAACGAAACGTTCACATAAAACCGCCAGGACCGGATGAGAGTTTGCCAGAGACGGACGTACCGCTGCGTTGAAGTGCATTTCGAATTTCTCGTCCTTATGGAGAAGCTGCAGCCTCCACGCCTTATCTTGAAAGCGCTGAACCAGCTCGGGCCACGCTTCCCGTTCACTCCCAGCGGTGGGTCGGTCCGAGTCTGCAAGGCCCTTGGACACCTTCGTTTGGACGTAGGAGACCCAGGCGGCTTGCACTTGCCCGATGAGTTCTGGGGTGAGCGATGTCGTCTCGGATATGAGCTTGGAGATGAGGTGGTTATGGCGAGCTCGGAGAATAATCTAAAGCAGCGTCTGATCAGAATGACCGGATTTTTACCCGCGGGATATGAAGTCTATCAGAAAGCTGGAAGGGAGCCAGCCGAAGCTCTTTCACGACACCAACGGATGAACACGGATGAACACGACTTAGGTAATACAAAGTTAAGGAGCCATTGGATGAAGGACAGGGGTCGAGCCGACTTGCCACCGATTACGTTAGGTCGTCGCACATTGCACTTTCGAGCAGTTCTAAGACGCCGAAACAGGCGTCGATTGAATATACTCAACACCTGGAGAATGAGATGGGATGAAGAGAATATGAGCAGCTGGTGACATCGATGTCTCAGTAGAAAACCGCAGCCTCAAGGTCAGTTTAGGCTATGTGATGACACATCAATCCCACCAGACTACTCTCAACTCGTGTAAGTGAACAAAGCATAAAGGAGTGGGTTAATAAGACCCCCGCTTCTGCGCCTTATCAGGACCAGGTCCCGTCAAGCGTGTCGCTTTGCAATTCGACAAACACCTCTAACTCCATCCACTCTATGCCATCCACAGATGGCGTTCGTATTCCGCTAACCCCGGCGCCGATGCAGAATGCGGTCTCAGGCCAAAGCTTCAATGCACGTCTACCTAAAACGCAGGTCGGCAGGGTTGGCAGGGGTGGGCGGTACCATCGCGTCTGTCTTTGCAGATAGTCACCAAGATCTCATGAATTATCGTCAATCATTATTCCAGACTCGAGCGTACAAGCACGACACCCCCGCACATTGACGAACCGCGTCGTATAGACATAGACATGGAGTTCGCGGCGCCCGGAACAATATGTATGAATGAGTTGATAGAATCGGCAACATCGGCCAGACATGTAACTGCGGTGGACGAGGATTCAATTCAGCCCAGCATTGGCTCGCTGTCGGCTCAAGGGACCAGCTTCGCGCCTGCCTCTTCACCAACATATAGGAGGGATCTTGGCCCTGCTTCGTACTCAAGAAGAATGCACGAACGATAGCTCAAGCGTGGCCATAGTCGCGTTCCTGGCGGTCTAACCTTGACCTCACTGAGGTTCAGACCGTGCCAGCTGACGCTGGCAGTGTCATCTAGTTCGACACTTCTGGACACAGCACAGAGCATATTCTTGGAACTTGCGCCCAGCCACAAAGCCAGTCCGTGTGGAATACCTATCACAGAGAAGCCGATTTGAAGCTATGCCGACCAAGTCCTATCGGAAGGCGGTGGTTGGCTCTGTCTCGGTGGTTGACCGGACGGCTTGAATGATGCGCATACTCAAGTAAACTCTGAACGTTTGGGCTCATCCCGCTAGCAAGGTTTCCAGACCCCCACAGCAACTCTTGACCTCATCGAAGTGAGGCGGCCGCTTGCCATGCCGGACCTTCGACCGCGGAGCCTTCAAGTTCGAAACACCACACCAAGCGTGCGTAGCCATCCATAGTCTCATGACATACCTTGTCATCGATGTCCGTGATGTTCATGACGAAGTGAACATCGTACTTGAAGTAATCAGTCAGGATCCTCCGGAGGATGTCCTGTGTGACATAATTCCTACACGGTAAGAACCACAGCGTGAGCTACAACAGTCACGCTGCAAGGAATCGCAAGACTCACCTCGCATGCCCCATGTGCGAAGCGTCATAGACCGTAGGTCCGCAATTGTACCACTTCACATGGCGTCCTTCGTTCGGGACGAACTCTGTCTGCAGCAGGCCAGCCTCAGCCGTCAGCTCCACCCCACACGACAAGATGTGGACAGAAACCGACTTTGGTGCGCGTCAAGGAGTTGTACACCTTGAGGACAGGCTCCGGAGCCCTCTGGGTGGGCAACGACCAGGGGGGTTGCTGTACGGCCATACAGGAACGTGCTGAGTAGTGGTGACGGAGCGCAGAGGCAGAGAGTGACCTGGCAGAAAGACGTCTGGAGGGAAGCAAGAAGATGCGAGAGATGAGCATGCACGCGGCGAGCTCTCCAAAACCTCGGCGGAGTCAGGACTTTTGTGCCAGTGCTGCCACTGACTCTATTAAGATCACGGATGAGCGAATCCAAACAGTGCGCGCTTATCGCCACACCGGTCCGTTTGCCGATTGACACTCATTTATTATCCTCGATCGCCTCGGCTACTGACTACGCTTTCGCTTCTTGCTTCAAGCTGTCGTAGTACACAGCACGGCAGAAACCTCGCAAGCTTCCTGGTTGGCGCATCGCGTCCAATGAAATACGAACGGCAATGTCTCTTTTATGACCCGCGGCCAGCATTCGGCTCAAGACCGGAGAATCGAGAACAGGCCTCGTTAATTTCCGCCGAAAACCATGCTTTACATAGCTCTCTTGGTATGGTCGAGCAGGCTGTATAGCATCCGCCCGACATCACAATTCCATACCCTAAACTCATCGTATGTCATCCTTCTCGTTCCTATAAGCTGTAGAAATCAATGGCCAATGCAGGAACATAGACCTCATAAGTCTTCCACCAATCGCCGACTAATCGTGCGAAGCCTTGACCACGGTCACATCCTGACGTCCAGGAAACACCCACCCGTAGAAGCCGTCCTCGTCCTCGTCCCCGTCCGTGTGGTATGGCCCCCGTGTCTACTTCTCGTGCACGGCGCACTCGTTCACAGTCCGCCAATGGTTGCGAACCCTAGGTGGGCTCTGCATGTGCGTCAGCCCCAACGCCGCGCGGAGATAGTGCCCGTCGTCGGGGTCAAAATCTTCGGACCCACTCTTGGTCGGGGAACGATTGACGAGGATGCCGAAGACGCGACGCGTCTTCTTGAAGTCCGGGCTGTCGCCTCGCGGGCAGAAGGGAGGCAGGACCGGTGTGTACAGAGGGTCGTACGGCGTGCGTGGGGATGACACGGACGGAGAGTCGATCGAGGACACGAGGAGCGGAGTCGAAGGAGCAGGAGAGGCGACCGAGGAATCAGGCACAGATTCCTTCAGGGGACTGGTCCTGCTGGGCTTGCCAGGAGTGGCGAAGGGGGCGTGCCTGCGGTGGTGTTCCGTTAGGGAGTCGGTCACGTCGGGACCCCCGCTCGCTCGCTTCCCGAGCTTGAAGATGTCCTCGATCGTGTCGATGCCTGCCAGACGGCTTACTGGGATCGGCAAGCCTTTCTGTCTCCCGATCTGCGTCCGGATGGCCTTCGAACAAAGCAGGTGAGAACGTACACTGAAGACTTCAATACAGATGTAACTCACCTTGACGAAGAGGAATGCAGACATGAACAAGAGGGCAGACATCATGAATGCGCTCAGCATTGCAGGAGTGGCTGACGACATGTATTCGTCCGTCAAAAACACATCACCGGTGTTGTGGCCGAAGATCACGCTTGCGGTGTCGACGGAGCCCGCGTTCACTTGCGCAGGACGCCCTGAGACTCGGGTGGAAAGACTTCAGAATGTGTTAGCCACGCAGTGATCCGTGTGCATAGGGAAATGCTCACCCGACAAGTACGAACAGTGTAGCGTAAAGGGTGACGATGGTGAGACAGAGCCCACCGCGAAGGGATAGCAAGGAGTTCGCCATTTTACTTCCTCAGGTACGGTGGAACACGGACGGAAGTTGTGTGGTCTTGCGGATGCGGGATGCGGCACATTGGAGCGAAGCCGTTGCGTGTGGCGAGTTTGGTGGTTCAGGAGGCTGACCCCGTCGATGCTCGTTACGACAGCCACCGAGGTCCAGCTGTCCTCCCGTTCCAGACCAGAGTTGACACCGTAACCCTGTCCCACACAGTCAAATGCAGAAACCCATGCCCTTGATTATAAGCAGACGCTGCGCTGGAACTCGGCAGAAATACACTCATACTGCGACATTCGTCTTGTAGGCCCTTGATTGAACTTGTACATTTATAATTACAACAGCCCGTAGGCACTGGCGGGCAGGAACATTACAACAAGCTCTTGAGGATACCGTCTCCTTGTACAAGAATGCAGGGCCCGCCGTAGATGACTTTACTCTCAAGACCGTTCTCCCTGATGTAATTCACCACGGCCTCGTCCTCGGCCCCAGGCTGTAGCCATAGTGCCGGCACGTTGAGTGCCTTCGCTTGCTCGAGGACCCCAAGCGTAATCTGACGTCGAAGGTCATCTCTCATGGCTCGAGGTACATGAGAAAGGGTACCGTACCTTCGGGGGAGTGATGATGCTGATAGACGTCTCAGTTGGGGAAGGCAGATCGCTGATAGAGCGGACAGTCTTCACACCCTCGAGTTCGTCCTCCTTCTGCACGTCCGATGAGAATCGGATTGTCTGTAGTTTTGCGAATCACATACTGGGTGCACGGGAGTAACGTCCTTCTCCCTTGCCTGGTACCACTTCAAGACCTGTATTGTTTGGATGACAACTAGATATATGAATAGACTGGTGCGAGCAGGATCGCACCTTGGTTCCGAACTTGGTCTGATCCTTGGAAGCACCGACGACCGCGTACTTCGGCGCAGACAAGAAGGTCTTTTGAACTTCAGCCAAGCTGGACATGACTCAAAGCAGATGAGATGCGTTGGCGCGGTGAGAGAGTGTGTGTGTGTATCAGCCCACATGTCTCTCGGTATTTGAAGACCCTCACATCCGGAACGGTGTCGTGGATCTCGCCGAAGTCGATGATGTGGAAAACGCATATCGCGCCATTGGAGCACATGGTTGCTTATAGATTGGAATGACGACTGGGCTGAGCAAGTTCATCGCAGGCCAAGTCTCTGCGGAGGTCATAAGGAGCCGTGATAGAATGTGTAAGCCGCAATCCTTCTCGCTTAGATAGAGCTGGAGCAGTGTAGCGGACGGACAATCCACGACATATGTTTGGAACATAGGCGAAGACGAGAAATACCTGCCCTAAACGAAGATGGTCCGTGCGCTTCGCGGACAGGATAAGATCATCGCCTGGACAGCATAGCAAGTCATACTTACCTTGATGGCACAAGCCCCTTCATGTACCTGGGTTTGTGGGCCGTGGGGGCCTCTCATAGCACGGCGACCATGTCCTCAAGGGGACCCTGCGGTTTGTATGGGCTTCGGCTCATGCACCGTCTCAATATTTCCCTGTCCCGCTTCGGCCCTCGGGCTGAGCGGGCCTTTACTTTTTGTCCGTTACCGGTTCTAACCCTAACCCCAATATCCAATCATCTAGATTGGATTGCGCTATATCGGGTAACATGACGTCTATTTTGCGTACCACTTGCATCGTTCGTACACAGGCTACTGTGACTTGTCTTCGAATTGTCCTGCTCCGGCTGCCCACTGCCTTCAGCTCTACCTCTGCATATGGGCCTATCAGTCGTGTTCCGTAGACTGCCGACAGCCTCATCAGCTAGACAATTATTCTATGGCGTCCTGATAGGAATTGCACTGTCTTTGACGGCAATGTCTGTGAATGATTACTTCGAAGAACGTAAACGCAAACGAGCCCCACTGGTCTTCGAGCCTCGTCCCATTGAGCTGCGAAGCGATGAGGTCGTCGACGGCGTGGCTGGTCTGATTGGTCTGTGCCTCACTACGCTCTCGTCAGGCGGCAAAACAGCATTGACACTTCACGTTAGGCAATACCCCGCTGGTCCGTATCAAATCGCTCAGTACTGCTTTGGGCGTCGAGATCTTAGGAAAAGCGGAGGTAAAGGCTGCATCTTCCATCCACAGCTTGTTGTTTTAACGCGTGTCCATCGTACAGTTCATGAATCCTGGTGGCAGCGTGAAGGATCGTGTTGCACTCCGAAGTATGCTTGACGTGGCTTGTTCTCTCACACGTGCTGAAGAATTGAATAATTTAGTGATCACCGATGCGGAGCAGCGTGGTCTCCTGCATCCTCATACCGGCTCTCGCATATTCGAGGGCACGGTCGGCTCCACCGGTATCTCCATCGCGACAATTGCTCGCGCAAAGTAATGTTTCTTCTACTTGCTTTTCTGTTCTATACTACCTCTGACGTGGCACCCACAGGGGCTACGAAGCAAGTGCGTTGCTTGTATGACTTTGGTGTACATGTGGCTGACCATGCGATTTTAGCGATCATCATGCCGGACGACGTCGCAGAAGAGAAGGTGAAAGCGCTCTTCGCCTTGGGCGCACACGTTGAGCGCGTCCGTCCGGCGAGCATCGTTGACAAGAAACAGGTGTGCTATGTCCTACTTTATTGATCGGACATTGTTTCTTATGCCGTCCTGTAGTTCGTGGTAGGTGTCCCGATGCATGCGTAGCAGAATCGCAGCTCCTCTGACAAGTGTATAGAACCTAGCTCGGGAGCGAGCGAAACATTTCGGCAACGAGGAAGCCGAGAACCCTGCAAAAGCCATCCCGACGCATCATGGCCATCTCATCACAACGTTCTCCTCGTCCGTCATCGTCACAACGACAGCAGATGATGCGCTTGCCGATGGTGCGCTCATGAGTCCGGGAGAAGAAAGGGAGTTTGAGCTGATGCCCAGAGGGTTCTTCGCCGATCAGTTCGAGGCGAGTGCTGCTCGGCTATACAGTGATACCTCACTCTCTCATGGTCTACATAGAACCGGAGCAACTACTACGCACACTTGGATGGCACGGGACCCGAGATCTGGCGCCAAACGAGCGGATTGGTCGACGCATTCGTGGCGGGTGCGGGTACTGGCGGAACTCTCGCCGGAATAGGACAATATCTGAAGAACAAGAAGGAAAACATCATCGTCGCCCTTGCCGACCCTGAAGGCAGCGGTCTTTTTAACAAGGTCAAGTACGGAGTGATGTTCGACCGCAAAGAAGCCGAGGGCACGAAACGGAGACATCAAGTCGACACCGTCGTCGAGGGCATGTAAGTCGCCGTCGACTCCAAGCCGGATTGAAGAGACTGATAGGGTGGGATCGCCAGCGGCATTAACCGACTCACGCATAATTTCGAACTCGCTCTTCCGATCGTAGACGACGCGTTCCGGTAGACCTGCTCATCGCCGTTGTCCGAAGGTCGTAGGACTGACGTTGCTTGCTGGTCCCTCTTCCCAGAGTGACGGATGAAGAGGCCGTAGCGATGTCGCGCTATCTCGTGCACCACGACGGCCTGTTCTTGGGCTCGAGCAGCGCGTGCAATCTCATTGCTTGCATCAGGCTTGTCAAAAAACTCGGGTGGAACAATGACGAGAGAGTTGTCACTATCTTGTCAGTCGTCCACAGTAGCTTGTCGCACCGTGGGCTGACGAATTTGTGCAGGTGCGACTCTGGTAGCAGACATTATTCCAAGTTCTGGTGAGTAGGAGACGCATGCCAATATGGAAGGTTCGCTCACCCTGTTGCTAGGAACGATGACTATCTTGCAAAAGCCAACATCCCAGTCGACATGCACCTTGTCGACAGAATCCTCGCCGGAGATGCATAAGCACGCTCGCCACACACGCCATGTCTGTGTATTCCGCCCCTGTTCGTCAAAAGTTGAAAGACGTGTATGGAGACAACGGATGCTCGCGATGATAGTGTACAGATGCGTTAATCTACAACCAGTATAATGAACAGCACGATAGCAATAAGGACAACGGCGGAGTATAAGGTATACAGGCAAAAACGTCCGGACAACTTCCCCGCTCAGCTGGATCCAGGGAAGGACTGTGTAGGTAGGTTGCCCTGCAAACTCGAGGAGGCGGATATGTTCGAGCCAAGGGGTACGGTAGTGAATGGCGGCGGTCGAGGCGAGACGCGCGCCATTGAGTCTTTGCTCGGCGACGCGCTCAGCGATGGCGTAGCGGACGGTCGCCTGCACAACATCCAATCGACCAGGTTAGCGTTCACGATAAAAGGCATCACGGCATCAGCTCGCGAGGTTCACGGACCTCGCATCGCCGAGACCACTACCCCCCGCAGCGGCGCCGGTGTTGCCCGCGGCAGTAGCCGCAGCAGCGGTGGCGGGGACGTCCATGGAGCCGACCTTGAGGAAGCCGGCCTGGACGAGGAAGTCCCACACGCGGCTCGTCTTGTTCACATCGATCTTGACGAGGTCGCGCGCCTCGCGCCGCCGTAGCTTCCCGCCGCGCCGGGCATACTCGCGTACGAGCGTCTCTTTGATGACGAGGTAAGGTTTCGGCAGGATGCGGAGCTGAGAGCAGAGAGTCTGCTCTTCAGGCGTGAGGAGGTGCAGGGCGGGGCTGTTGGCGAGGTTGAGCGGGGCAGCTGCAGGACGGTCATGTCAGTACAATTTGGTAAGGCGGAAGGGGACAGTTCGACGTACGCATTTTCCGCGCAGGGGGACCCGTCCCGGAGACGCCTGAGGCGCTAAGCTTCGGCGTCGCTTCTCGTTCGAGGTCGCCGTCCACGCCGATGCGACGCGGATCAGGGCCGCTGGAGGCGCGTCCGCCAGCCAGCCTGCGTTCTGAGTAGTAGTCGCGTGCGGCCATGTTTGCCTTCGCGTTGGCCTTGTCGGGGGGATGAGTCTGCGTGCGCCGGCTGGGGGTGCAAGTGAGTAACTTACCCGCTTTACAAGATCGGCTTCATACTTCTCGATATCCGCAGGAGTGCGGAGGCCCATGCGTCGGTAGTGCTGCAGTTCTTGGATGCGCTTTCGAAGCATGTGTTCGTCTATGCGGGAGCAATGAGTCATGTGCAAATTAGGGCTATGGGCGTTTGACGTACAAAGGATATCGGCCTGAAAATGCTCGAAGTCATCCGCGGTCTGCAGACGGGCGAACGGCCGCAGTCGGTGGAGGATGTCCTTCTCTTCTTTGGCTCGCTTCTTGTCTGCCGCTTGCATCTATGCCCCACTGTGTCAGGCGACACGTGATGGGCAGGGAACTTGGCGTGCTATGTACTCACCTGTTTGTAGTTAAGAAGCCCTCTGTCGAACATGATACTCTTGGCCTCGAGTCGCTTGTCGACGCGCTGATAATACGACTCCAACAGGGCGAGCTTGAAAGCGAGAGACTCTTGCGTTTCGAAGGGTGGGGGCTGAGTCAGCTCGTCGCCGTCATCCTCCGCATCGTCCTTCTTATCGTCCGGCTTCGAGCTCATATCGCGTCGTGGTGTGTCTCCATTCGAGTGGTAGCCGTTGACTAGTCCATTGAGTAACCGCTTTCCGGGGAACGCGTCCTTCGCCTGCATAGCTGCTTTCGTCTCCTCCGCCCACTTCGCCCGCGCCTTCACGTCCTGATCATTCTCGTCCTCGGGAATCTGATCCCCACCCCATTCCAGACAGATGCCGAACTCCAGGTCCTTAACCAGATCTTCGGCATCGTTGTCGAGCTCGTGCTCGAACTCGAGTCGACCGGGAAGGAAGGTTGCGACCTCATGTACGCCTGGGGCGGAGACAGGCGCGACTTTATGGGGTGGCGGGGCACTGGTCGTCATGGAAGATATTCGACGCCGCTTGCGTTCCTGAAACTCGGCAGGGTCGATGTCGAAGTTGACGTCCATGCGCTGTGCAAGGTGGCAAGTAGATTGTGTGAGTGAAAGTGCGAGCAGATGCGAGGACAGGCGCCTGAAGCAATTGACGCACAGGAAGGGGCCAATTGGGCGACTCGATGTAGATAGAGTAGTAGTGCTTTTCTACCTCCTCTTTCGTTCTTGTCCCGACATGCTCCGAGATCGCTTGCCAGTTGCCGAGGCCTTGCATGGTTATCCCCTCGAGCAACAGGAGCTCCCTGACAATTGTAAGTGCAATGTAAGTGCAATGGCCGGTATCGAGGCTGGAAACCACCTACTCATCGGCACCCCAGTCCTCATCAAATATTGGATACGAGTGTAATTCCTGGGAAGGGCAGTTCAGTCACGGAATACGCTCGCCCGAGGGTACGCTAAGGTTGCTTACCACGACCCGATAAGCATGGTCTCTTTTGTGATCCCCGAACTCCTTCCCGCTACAGAAGCAGGAAGGACATATGTCTACACGGTCGTCGCCGTTCTCGCAGACGGGGTCGGCGCATACTATTCGCACGGAGTGGGTGAGGTCGCAGGCGCAGCCATCGCACGAGATCTGCAAGCCAGGCTCATTGACGGCTATTACGTAATCAGTGGGCAGGCGCGTGAGAACCCAAAAGAGGAGGAAGAGAGATGGCCACAAGGTACGGGAGTTTGGCCGCGACGTACTTTGAATCTCTTCTGGCTGGTAATTTCGTTTCCGGTGCGTCACCGTCATTTTCAGCGAAAAAATGCAGCGAATACGCCCGGAACACGCCGCTCTAGGACGTATCGTTTGCTGTGCTGCTGACTTGTGGAATTTCGCTCAGAATCCCGTGAAAAGGGTCTGATATGGTCCGTTTGGCGTTGCACTGTCTGGGACTATGCGCTATTCCAAGGAAGTTAAGCAGATGAGGTCGGTAGCTTCGTGGGAAAGAGGGCGGGTGGTTCAGGATGTCAAGGATGTCCTGGTCGGCGGTGTGGCGGGATACGGAGACCTCTTGAGGTTGGGCCTTGATGTGTGTACGAAGGCGCGTTAGTTCGGGGTGTGCAAAAGCCCGAATCCGGCCAGAGAGGGTATTGTCGTCGTCGTCGACGGCGGCGGCGACGGAGGGCGTTCTCGAGACGCCGACGTTTCGCAAACAACGCCAAACAACGCGTCTGTCCTCGGGCGCCTAATGACGGCACTGAGGCACGACTGTCGCTGTGTCGATCTGAGGACGCCTTCCTCAGGCCTCCCCCCACTCTCCCTTGCTGCCGCTGTCTGCGCCTCTGTTGCGTCTTTGAACGCATCTGTCCTTGCTGTCCCTGCCGTACTGTATACTATCAGAGATTACAAGCTAATACCTGGTATCTCTCGACATGAACGGCGGGGCGTCTTCTCCGCCACCTGGGCGTACAATCGACATTGAGCTCGGTGGACAAGAGGTTATAACCGTCGAACTTGACAGTCTTGATCCAAACCCGGACGACTTGTTGGAGGTGCTGAAGGAAGGACAATGTAAAGTGTGGATATGGACGAGGTTAGCAGCGGAGTACTGGCGCAGGGGACTTTTGGATGCAGCCGAGAAGATTGCGAAGACCGCGCTGCAGGGTGCGTAATCATATTTGCCCTCATTCCAGTCTTTTTATGGTATTGCCGTCTGTCGTATAGCTCTACAAGATACCGACTCCTCCGGATCGGTTTCCCCGGTGTTCTCCTTCCTGGCAACTCTTCAGATTGCCATGGCCGCAAAGGCACCCAAACTCATCCTGACCGATGCCGGTGAGTCCACCGCATCTGCTCACGTCAGTAGGTATCTCATCTATCCTAGTCCATGACAGGATGGTCGCGGAGAGGACTCGAGAGGACTACTACAAGGAGGGCACTATGTACTTCAACTCAGGAGAACGCGTGGCGGCCGAGTACGGCGAGTCCCACATGATGCTCTCCTCGCTCACACGAGGTCCGTGACTGTGACCGGAGAAGTGTCTCCAACGCTCATCGTTGTGCTGCAGGTATACTGCAGCTGAGCTCTGGGCAGTGGGACGATGCTGCAAGGACCTTTGACTCGGTGCTCTCTGACAAACCAACGAATGTGGTGGCACTGCTTGGAAAGGTCGGTTGTTCGTCCTGGTAGGTCGGTCTGTAGGTTCTGATATATTATTATATGGTGTCAGGCCAAAATTGCGTACGCCCGGCGACAATACACCCAGTCCCTCAAGCTCTTCCAAAGGGTGCTACAACTCAACCCAACATGTCTCCCAGACCCACGGATAGGTATTGGCTTGTGTCTTTGGGCTATGGACCACAAAGCGAAGGCGAAAGCTGCATGGCAGCGGAGTGTGGAGGTGGTATGTTCTTCCACAACATACATGAGAGATGGTGTGACTCAAAACTGAATAATAGAACCCGGGGGAGTGGTCTGCGCACCTTCTGCTGGGCCTCGAAGCGTTGAACGCGAGCAAGAACGAGGGTCAGTCAGAGGAGGAGCGAAGAGAGGAATTCCTCACGGGGACTCGCCTTATTGAGCGGGCATTCAACGCCAATCAGAGGAACTCTGCTGCGGCAAACGCGTTGTGCGAGCTGTTCCTGCAAAAGGGACAGACCAAGATGGCGAGTTTACCGGCTCCCCTTGAGGTAACATACTGACTCAACTTCTGCTAAGCAGGCGCTCAAGCTTGCAGAGCGTACAATACAATTTGCCGACGTCAAGGGTATCCTCTGCGACGGTTACATCCGGGCTGGCAGAGTTACCCATCGAGAAGGTCGGCTGCAGGATGCTACGTCACATTTTACGAAGGCGAAGGAGGCTCGCAAAGATAGCGTTCTCGCGACCATCGGCCTTGCGCAGGTCCAGCTGAAAAACGGTGGGCGAGATGAGTGTACGTGTGTTGCTTCGCTGACGCGCTGCCAGACGAGACTGCGGGTGCCATCCACACGCTCGACACGTTCCTGCAGACACCCCAGAACCCCAAGTCCGTGGAGCTAATGGCGATGCTGGCGTCAATACGTGCGACTTCGCGGCCCGGCATGACAGACAAGGACAAGGTGGAGGAGAAGGCGCGTGCTCGGGACCTGTTTGACCGTGTCTGCAAATTCATCGGCGCAGGTACGGATGGCTTGGCGCAGCTGAATGGCCAAACACAGAATCTCACTCCGTCGGCGCGCAAGCTGGGCGAGGACACTGAGATGTTCATCGAGATTGCGAAGCTCTACCAAGACGAGAGCATCGAGCGGATGGAACGCGCGTACAAGCAGGCGCTGCAGAATAGCGAGGCATCGGGGAGGATCGAGCCTCGTCTGGTCAACAATCTCGGCGCACTGCAGCATCTGGAAGGACACTTCGATGAAGCGAGGGCAATGTATGAGACTGCACTCACTCATGCCGCCAGCCTCGACCAGTCCACGGCTGAGGCAATGTCAACGTCGATATTGTACAACCTTGCTCGTGTGTACGAAGAACAGGCGGATGTCATGAAGGCCAAAGAGGCATACGATAAGCTGCTCACGAGGCATCCGGAGTACGCTGATGGTGAGTAAATCATTCGAGCTGTTCTCTTCCATGTACTAAATTGTCGTCAACAGCAAAGCTTCGACAAGCGCAGATGCTCGCCGAGATGAATCAGTACAACGACGCGCACGAGCTCATCAAGCAGGCGCTCGCTTCCCAGCCTAACAACCTCAACCTCCGCGCTTTCTATACCCACTTCCTCGTCCAGTCCAACCAAGCGAAGTACGCCAAGGACTTCGTTTTCGTCACCCTCCGCGACCACGACAAGTACGACGTCTATTCGCTCTGCGCCGCCGGCTGGCTTCAATACCACCAGGCGCGCGAGAACCGCGACGGCTCCCAAGAGGGCATCAAGGACCGTCGCCGTGGGTTCCAGCGCTCAGCCGAGTTCTACGAGAAGGCGCTCCAGCTCGACCCCCTATGCGCAGTCGCCGCGCAGGGGCTCGCGATCGTCGTCGCGGAGGACGCGCTTGGCAACCTTGGGGGCGCCCTGGGGCCCCCAGCCCCCGACGAGAACGGGAAGAGGTTGAAGAACTCACGAGAGGCGCTGGACATCTTCGCGAAGGTGCGCGAGTCGATCAACGACGGGAGCGTATATGCGAACATGGGCCATTGCCACTATGCGCGGGACGAGTTCGACAAGGCCATTGAGAGCGTGCGTGGTTTTTCTCCGTATCGTATGTCGTAGCTATTTAGCGAGCTGGTGCTGACGAGGGTGTTGCAGTACGAGACGGCGTCGAAGCGGTTCTACCACAACAAGAACGTGTCTGCTCTGCTCTGTCTTTGCCGAGCGTGGTATGCGAAAGCCAACAAGGACCAGTCCTTCAGCTCGATGACAACGGCGCTGCAATATGCTCAGAAGGTATATATCCCGCGTTCATTTCATCGACCTCCGCTGATTTGCAGTATAATTGTATAGGCATTGCACCTACATCCCTTCGACAAGGCCATCCTATACAACATTGCCATGATCCAGCAGAAGGCCGCAGAGCTGCTCATGTCGGTACCTCCCGCCAAACGATCGCTCAAGGACCTCCAGAAGGCCATCGAGCAAGCCGGGCATGCGCAGAAGCTGTTTGCCTCCCTCGCCGCGGACAAGTCGCCGTTGGTGCCTTACAACCGCGACCTCGCCGACCAGCGTCGAAAGTATGGCGAGAGCATGTTGCGGCGGTGCGAGGACCACCTCGCGACGCAGAAGCAATGGGAGGCAGACGCCCAGGCGAAGATCGAGGCCGCGCGACAAAGACGGCAGGAAGAGAAGGAGAGACAGGACGCGGCGGAGGTATGTTCCTGCCTTTGCCTGCTTACTGACGAGAATATGGACGGCAAGCTAATCGTGTTTCAACTGTAGCGCGCCCGTCTGGAGGAGCTGCGTAAACAGGCAGAGAAGCTCGCGGAGGAGCGGAGGATCGCGCGGGAGCAAGCGCAGGAGTGGACACGAGAGGTCAGGCGGATGGAGAGTGACGAGGAGAAGGAGAAGGCTGCGAAGAAGGCGAAGCGCGGGAAGCGGACAGAGCATGTCAGCGGGGACGAAGGTGTCGAGGGCGAGCCCAAGCCTAAGAAGAGGAAGGGCAAGCTCAAGAAGTCAGCGGACTCAGGCGCAGAGAACGAGGACGAGGCTCTGTTCAGTGGTGAAGATGAGGACCAAAAGCCCAAGAAGGTTTGTTAGCCACTGTCACCTTTGTCGGAGCTGGTTACTGATCGTGTGGGGTATCACAGCGCACGAAGAAGCGGGCTGTGCGGGATGACGACGAGGACGAGCCTGCGGTGGCTGCGCCTCGTAAGAAGCAATAGTAAGTCGCTTTCATCTTCGTATCTTAACTTCGCTGCTAATGGATGCACTTGTAGTAAAAGCAAAGAGACAATATCGGACTCGGACGAGGAGATGTCATGAGCTCTGTTGTTGCCTATGCTATGTAGATATCTGCTTTTTGTTTGTGCTTTGTGTATCCATTCTGTCCTATCGTCCTAGTACATCTGTAATGCGTACGAGCTTTGATCGGATGTCTGCGCTTCAGTCACCCCAATCTAATCCCAACATATCCTGCTTCCCTCCGCGCACCGCGCCCTCGACGGCCTCTGCGAGCTCTCGTAATACTTTTCGATCCTCTTCTGAGGCTGTGCCGAGCGACGTGAGTGCGTTATTCCTCGATCCCCCGATGCCGAGGGCTTTCTCGAGTGCTATTTCACGGTCTTCGCCCCGAAGCTTGTCAATCGATACTAAAGTTTCTCGAAGTCGAGGATTTGATCCAAGGATCCGACGAATCTCCGGCGACGTTGCTGAACATCAGTGTTAGCCAGAGTAAGTAATCAAGAACTTCTTGACGAACCGATCGCCTCATATTGGGGTGGTTGGAGAGGTTTCGGGTCGTCGCGTTTCAGTGGATCCGGGTACGCCGACTCTTCAGGTACGTAGGGCCACTTTAACGACGCCAATGACCTCAATGGTGGACCTGCATCCCCTATCGAAACGTCCGAGTCCGATGTAGACGGTACTAGGCCTGGTTCCACAGGGTCGACGAAGCATTTCAGCACTACTCGGAGCAGGCATGGCGAGCATTCGCCTCGCAACGGACCTTCTGCGCGGGACTGGATGGCTTCACCTAGTGAAGTTGTGACCCTACTCGTAAAAGCTGATGGTTGTTTTGCCCCTAGACAACGATCTGGTCCAATTTTCTGGTAAGTATAGTGACGGAGTAATTGTGTACCTCATGCTACCTTTGTGTTGCTTGTAGCAGGGCACAGAGCAGCTGTTTCGTCGCTTCGTCAAAATCTTGTAGATCTGGATGTGATTTGGCGTATATACTAAACCACGGAACATTTGGCGCAAGTATACTTGGACTCGGTCGACTCGCATACTTGGCACTGTGCGCGTGTAGGCAGAGCCATAGTGGCTAGAACTATGAAGGTAAGGTGATCAGTGGTCCTCGGACTATAGCAGCAATGACTTCCTCAATACACACTCGCAACTTGAAAGTGCACAGCTGAATGTCCGAGTAGTAGCGTTCAATCCAAGAGGATCCTCGCCCGTCCGTCTTTTCCGGGGAGGTGCCACGTGGTGGCTGTGAGGTTTTTTCTCCGGCGCGTGCGACGAGTAGAGTTCGCCTCCGAAGTCCTGTTTATCGATCCTGGGCTGCTATCTGCTTTGCCATGGTGAGACAGGAGAAGGAGAAAGGCACAAACCTCTTGAGATGGTTCAGAGAACAACATGGCACCCTCGATACATCCAGCATGGGGATTGTCAATTTCCTGGGGCACGGACGCGGCGCGATCGCCCTGAAGGACATCCCAGTACGTCATTCCTTCATGGCTCCGAGTCGTTCATGCGCCGAGCTGATAGCTTGGTATGTGCAGGAAGACTACACTATCTTTAGCCTATCACGAGATTTGACTCTATCAACGCGGACGTCAACACTACCTACGCTCATGGACAAGGGCTGGAAGGAGCACGGCCTGCACGAAGGCTGGGTCGGGCTCATACTCTGTATGATGTGGGAGGAATCTAGGGGGCCGGAGTCGAAGTGGTCGGGATACCTAGGTGAGTCTTTCCTGAAGCGTTCATCTCGGAGAGGCATATGGATCCCATGCAGCTGCTCTGCCCGAAAAGTTCGATACTCCCATGTTTTGGCCGGAAGATGATCTCAAGGAGCTGCAGGGGACCGCAGTGGTAGGTCAGTCTCCTATTCGTGCCTCTCTCATCATGTTTCTGACCGTTAAGTCCAGACAAAATTGGGAGGGCCGATGCTGAGCGCGACTACCATGAAAAGTTGATTCCCGCGGTCAAGGCAAGTTCGTCCTTATGTCTCGGAAGAGGACCCTCAAGTCGACGTGCCCTTGCATATGATTGCAGAGCAGACCGGACCTATTCCCTGAAGACAAACTCGAGCGATATTTCTCCCTCGAGCGGTACCATGTGAACGGCAGCCGTATCCTTTCGCGTAGTTTCCATGTTGAAAGGTGGAAAGGTGGGCACACTGAGGACCAAGGCGTGGAAGATGACGAAGCAGACGGCAATGGCATGGACGTCGATCCTCAGGAACCCCCTGTCGACACCGAGCAAGGCGGAGACGCCACCGAGCAAGTTGAAGAAGTGCAACTCGAGGGGGACGAGGAATTAGGTGATGAGGATCAAGAAGACCCTGCGGACGTAGCTATGGTCCCCATGGCGGACATGCTCAACGCTCGTTTTGAGTCGGAAAACGTTGGTTGTCGCTATCGCACGCTCCCAGTCCTCCTTGTCAACTATTGATTCATTGACAGGCCAAGCTCTTTTACGAAGAGCGCGAGCTAAAGATGGTCACGACAAAACCAGTCGAGGCCGGAGAACAGATTGTAGGTGCCAACAACTCGGCTATCCCTGTACGAGTCAATAGCTGACCGGACGTCTTTGCGGCTAGTGGAATACGTACGGTGACCCTCCTAATTCCGATCTGCTCAGGAGGTATGGGCACGTGGACGTCGTACCCCTCCGCCCACCTCTGTCCGGTATGGGTAACCCGAGGGACATAGTCGAAGTCCGCGCGGACCTGATAGTGTCCGCCGTGTCCAAAAAGGTCGAGTATAGCCTGCAGGAACGGGTAGATTGGTGGTTGGAAGAAGCCGAGGACGAGTGCGCTGACTTTCATTACGGGTGGACGCTGATGTGCTGACATGGTGGTCTCCGATATAGCGTATTCATATTGCGGACAGACTGCGAGCTGCCGGAAGAACTCGTCTCGTTCGAGCGACTCTTGTTTCTATCTGAGGATGAATGGATCAAGACAGCGAAGAAGAGCAAACTCCCGAAGCCCAAAGTGGACCCAGACGTGCTCACAGTGGCCATCGACGTCTTGAGCGCCCGCTTGAAGGAGTATCCTACTAGTATTGAGGTGAGTGTATCAGCCGTGGTTCTGCGAATGCGTCGCTCTGACGCGCAGGCGACGCGCTAGGAGGACGAGAAGCTTCTTTCCGCAGACAAGGTGGAGTCGTTGTCCCTAAATAAGAAGCATGCCGTGATCGTTCGACTGGGGGAAAAACGTATCCTGCAGGGGACTCTCAAACAGCTCCGCGCACGAGTTGCAGCATCAGCAGGGTCTACCAAGAAACGCGGCCGTGATGAAGAAAAGGGCGGCAAGGGAAAGAAGGCCAGGAAGTGATGTGGGCATGACACCCTACGGCACCCGTGTGTAGAGTACATGCATTGCGGTATGTATCAGCGTGGCGAACTCACTCAGCAATACGACATCTTCGGCTCCCTTTTTGTAGAGTATGATGCCGTCAAACTAGAAAGTCACTTAAGGATAACAGACGTTACCAATACCGGTCGGGCCCGAAGCCTCTGCCGCGTGCTCGCCAACCGCGAAGCGTCGTCAAGGTGAAGGAGATCTCGATCGCCGATCGCCTATCCTTGCAGTGCCAGCTCGAGTCGAGCCGACGTTCGCGTCCCCGCCACGGCTCGGACGGGACGATGTCGGACGTGGCCTCTTTGAGCATTCATTGATGCTGTGTGGGATGTGTAGGCCCGTGGAACACTAAGCCGACAACAACATAGCTACACATGTCGTCATCGCATGCTCGGTCCGGCATGTTGGCGCAGCAGTCCGATCTCGGGATGCATACGGTATCACCATTGGCCTGCAGGGCTGTTATGACCGCTCTGGATCTCGCGCAGGTATGTATTTTGGTCGGCGGCACCGAACTTGACTCAAGACTATCTGAACTTGATGACGATTCAGACACAATGCGCGGGGTCGTGTGCGAGTTCGGAGACCACCACCGCCGCCACAATGCTCGCCTCTATCCAACACCTTCACGTTTTGGTATATCAAACAAATCCGGCCGGCTTATGTCTTCTTGCGATCATCTTGGACCAGTGCGTGTGCCAGGGACACCTGAACTTGCTCCAGTCCCAGGGGCTTCAAGCTTCCTCACCTGGTCGCGCTGGTTCCTAGTTTCTGTACTACGTCACTCTCCTGCCGTTTGTATACCTCAGCGACGACTTCGCCACCTCGGATGTTTCTAATGCCATCGCGTTCCTCCCACGAGCTGCGAAGATCGGCCTCTTCACATTCTCTGCAGCTTGATTGCCCCTCTAGGCTTACTCATGGGGCGGTCAGAATGCCCCGGCAGAGACCCTCCAAGATCCCATCTCTATCTGGAGAAAACTCCCGCAGAGTGATCCGATTGAAGATAAAACCTTCGCCCTACACCGTACCACGGTTTGAATCCTCGGATACATATATCCGATAGACATATCGCAGCAGATGTGATGATGCTTCAAGATGGAAAGAAGATGTACAACATCGCGGCGTTACATATACATACATATATAGAGAGAGAGTGCGTATATGTTATGTACGAAGGGTATACAACCTAGACGTCGCCCCGCGCATCGTAAAGGAATGCAGGCCGAGGCAGGAAATGCAACCTAAAAACCGTCACGAAAGTCCGGGAGCTGGCCAGTCGAGTAGGCGTTTAGGCAATCGACAAGCGGTGTATGTACCAAAGCGGCCGCCCTCAAGTTCGTATCGACGGCTTGCGGAACCGGCGGGTAGCACTGTGCACGGAGAACGAAAAGAGGGGACCACGTATGTCAGCATCGAGCTTGAGCGCTGATCGTCGGACCGAGACGATTAGGCTGAGGGAGAAGCGAAACGAGGGTGCGAGGAGGCGATACGAGATAGTAGATAGATCGCGAGAAGATGGGTCCGAGACTCCGAGGACGAATGGCGATATGCGTGTGCCCTGTCACTCACCGTCGTGAAGGTCTTCGCGAGCGCGAGATCCGACGACAATTTGGAGCACGCCAGGCGCACAATGTGCCACGCGCTCTCGAACGCGGTCAGCTTGTGCTGGAGAGCGTCGCAATTGTCCTGGACTTCGCTCGCGATCCGTTCGCGCCTCGCCTCTTCTGACTCGTTGTCAGTCAATGGAGCTGGTACGAGCGATTCATCTGTGGAGTGGCTGATTAGCAGCAGTCATCTTCCGGAACAGATTTATCGCAATCGACTGGCATTGGGGCTATACCCAGCCGCTGTTGCTGCAGTCGAACGCCGGCTCAAGGGGGGTCCCACGGCGGAGCGGGTGGGTACTCACATCGGTTGAAGTGTATATCCACTGAGATGCCAACTAGACAAATACGTACATATCAGCTCAGGATGTTACCAATCAGCAAGAAGCGAGCTGCGACAAGGTCGCAGAAAGATCGGAGAAACGTACAGCAGGAGAAGCGCAACTTCTCAAGGCGCGCAAGGGCCACCTTAAACGTGTAGACTAGCTTTGTCAGAAGCCGGTTCAAAGTCTACGCGCGGAATGGGGTGGCAGCGGTTAGATGCATTAGAAGGGTCGAAGTCATTTGGCACCACACATAGCGCTACGAACGAGGGACGGACCTGCCACACGTTATAGCACACTCTAAGGATAGAGCAAAGAGATAGGTGAGTCAGGAGGGGAAACCGCCATTGGTGGGGAGGTCGTGATACGTACTCCTCGATACCGGTCCAGATGCTAGCAAGGAAACCTGGCGGCTCGGCCTTGATCCTCAACGCGCTCGCAACCTTGCGCGGGAAAACCTCAACATCCTTCGCTAACTCGCTGAAGCTCTCGGCGTTCGCATGTGCCGCGTTTAGATGTACCGGTATTGTCTGTGCGCGGTGCGTTGAACATACAGTCGCCAACTCTGGCAACACCGGTAAGACTTGGGAAATCCGCACCTCGAGGAACTTCCCGATCATCAACTTCTTCTGGTCGATAGTCAAGTCCTCGGACTGCGACAAGGGAACAAGGATCTCCGCGAAGTCTATTTGTTTGGACCTCTGTGAAGCAGAACAGTACACGTGTGCCGATAGTGTACACACTCTTCAGGAACTGCGCACAGAGCGCAGCGTTCTGCTGAGACTCGCGATAGATTTTACTATGCCTCTACATTACACCAAGGCCCCGAGTGGTCAAAATGTGCCTCCAACTAGCGATCCGCCAGGAGAATGAAGTACGTACCCGACGCAATCTATTCCATTCATCGCTCAAAGCATGCTTCTCTCCAACCTCCGGCGTCGCGTCGAGCTCTGCAGCGACGGTCTTGAATAGTTCTTGGATGTCCCGCTGGTCGTTGATGAGTGTCGCAAAGTTCTGCTTCAGCTCCGCGCGAGCCCGATAATGCGCTTGGATATCGCTGTACGTCGGCAGGCCAGACTCAAACATGGCAATCAGTAGTCCGAGTCCCCAGAGCTGTACGGTCGGGGAGTAGCAGTCGGTTCGCAACGAGATAGAGCGTTGTGGACGGAGGAGGGGGTTCCAAAGCACGCAGACGGAGAGACCGCAGGCTGTGGGCTGCGCATGCCGGGCCTGAAGATGATCGTGGATTCGCGACAGGGCGCGATTGGGCCTGCAACCAGTGGGCCACGTGCTCGGAGGCACGCCATCCATGAGCGCATCCGCGAAACTGTCCGAATATCGTTAAACATTCACCGCAGTGGTATGCTACAGCGGCCTATTAAATGGTACGGGCTACAAAGTCTAATGAACATATGGAACATGGAGTTATCAACATCGCATGCGAAGGCGCTCAAGAGCAGACGAAACAGGTAATACAAGCTAATGAGGCTGGTGCGAATCCACGTTCGTTAGGAAGAGATAGGAGACTCCCCCTTAGAATACGCCTTCAGACATTCAATGAGAGAGTCGTCCAATGCCGCCGCTGCCGCTGCCGCCAGGTTAGTGTCGACGGCGCGTGGCACATTCGTCTACAATACAATTGGGATGACCGGCATCAGATATCATCAGTAATGGTACACAAGTGTGGGAATATCACGCACCTCCGTAAAGCTTTGCGCGAGCTCGAGATCTGCTAAAAGCTGAGAGCACTTGACGTGCACCATATGCCATGCGCCCTCGAATCCAGATAGCTTGTCGTGTAAAATATTGAAGTTGTCCTGGATCTCGCGTTCTCGTTGCTTCTCGATCAGGTCTTGCCTGATGTATTCATCTGGACCGAGTCAAGGCATGTCAGAAATCGCCATACAATGGATTAACAAACTAATCTTTGCTGATAGGTAGCACAGGTTATGGAGAGCAGGCAAGGGCGCACCCGGTATACGGGGGTGGTACTCACAGTCGCGCTGGAACCAAAAATCCACTGAAGCTCCGCAAAACGATATGCTGATCCTCTGCAAACGCGCGAGAGCCGCATCCAGTACGTGCGCCAACTTCGAGAAAAGCCCTGCAATCATCTACTCGCAGCACGTACAGGGAAGCATAGACAACATGTGAATGCCCAGTCGAACCTCCGTCAGCAAGGCTATTAATACGCAGCAATAAGGAGGACTGGACAAACCTGCCAGATGCTGTTCCACAGTCTAGAAGGATATACTCAGTCCATGATCCGAACGGTCCGGACGCGCTCCCCGTGTACGTACTGTTCAACCCATTCTTCAATCTTCACAAAGAAGCCGGACGACCCCGTCCAAGGAGAGTTCGCCGCCCTGACGGCACTCGCGACCCTGTGGGGGAAAGCTTCGACGTCTCGCGCAAGCTCACTAAAGCTCTCCATATTTTCCTTAGCGGCCTCCATGTGCGCCCCGATGGCCTGCGCGTAAAAAATAGTGTCATTATGATGATGCCTACACCGTGCAACGCGGAGACGGTACGTACTTCGAGAAACAGCTTGATCATCTCCTTCTTTTCAGGCATATCTCTGGATATTGAGAGAGGAATCAGGGTCTTTGCAAAGTCTAGATATGCCTAAGTCTGTGAGCATCGCGAGCGCAGGATACTTCGATAGCTCGATTTGAAAAGCGCACTCTCAAGATACCGCGCACACCACGAAGCACTATGCCGGGACTTGTTGTAGGTGTGCTTATGCCTCTGTTCCACGCGTCTTTATGAACGATAGTCCCAAACAATGACCGGACAGTCGAAGAAGCACCCACCTCTCGCAAAGCTTCCCATTCCTGGACCAGCGGATGTCTGTCTCCAATCTCCGGCGTAGCACGCAACTCTATCGCGATAGACCTGAATATCTCCTGTATGTCTCTCTGGTCGTGCACCAGTGCTGCGAACTTCTGCTTCAAGTCCGCACGAGCGGCATCCCGATCATCGCTGTATGGCGGAAGGGCGCTCCCGTCCATGTCCAGTCGGTAAATGGGCCGAACGATTACAGAGGCTAAGCTTATCGGTGGATGCGCAAGTAGCAATGAGAGTCAGAAAACAGCACGGGCGACTGAGGAGGCACGGTGCAGGCTGATGGCTGCGAGTTGCAGCTGTAGTGGAAGCCATGCGTAGAACTTGACGGCGCCTAGGCCATGAGGCGCGAATACTTCCGTCACGTGGTCGTAAGCCAGGTCACTGTCTGGTTTATGTAGACCTATCAGCTTCCATTAGCGGGAATCAGGTTGGACATGGAAGAATCAAGAGCAATATGTGGACTTCGCAGTAATGAACATGTAAGGAACGCCAGTTCATAGTTTTCCGGCAAGGGCTTCTAACCTCATCGCATCCTCCTTATATAACACGAGCCTGCTATCAGGCAAGCTGAGAAATGTCACGAATTCTCACAATAGGGTACAGAAATATAGGATCGATACATGAACACCAAGATTCATGGTACTGACAGACAAGGAGATCTCAACGTGATTTGATGGATATGCCTTGCGGCGAGTGAAAACGCTCTGGATCCTGGCGTATTCGAGCACCATGTGTTTCCAATTTATGCCAAGACTTCGCCCCTGTAGTAGGCATGAAGACACTCAATGAGTGGGTCGTCTAACACCGCTGTCGCCGCCTCCTCCAGGAGAATATCGACAGATTGAGGCTCTGACATCTACAGACGACAGAAGGTCAGCACTAGATCCGCTCCGCTGATCAAGATCACGCCGGGGGCAGTCGCGTATGGCGGATGAAGGGACCGATACAGAGCTTACTTCTGGAAATGTCTGTGCGAACTCGAGATTCGCTGTCAGCGTGGAACACTTGACGTGTATCAGCTGCCATACACTCTCGAAGCCCGCGAGCTTGTCATGAAGGGCGGTATAATTGTCTTTCTTCTGGTGACCCCTGGGCGCGCCTGACAGACATCATGGGTTAGAGTTCTAGGAGTAACGAAGGGAGGAGAAGCCAAACTACTGTGTAACGGCTGAAAGTGGGGAACAACCGAGTACAGGGGTATCGAGCATACAAGCAGGAAGAGAGGTCACTCACCGCCGGGGACGAAATCGAAATGAATAGACGGCCCCCAGGGCGAGAAGCGGAAACTGATCCTTCGCAGGCGTGCGAGAGCTGTAGTGAGAATACTGACTAGCTTCGTGAAGAGCCCTTCAATCATCTGACCGGACGGGGTGCACCCACGACCAAATTAATGCATGTATGAACACGGCCCAAGGTAGGTACGAACCTGCCAGATTGTAGTCCAGAGTCTGGACGGTGACATAGCTCTATTGAATGGACTGAAGGGTCCAGATAGCCACGCTCTGTACGCACTTTACAGCCCACTCTTTGACTTTCCTTATCCACTCCCAAACCTTTCCAGAAAACCCAGACGAAACTGTGGGGACTGAGTCTGCTGCACTGAGAGCGCTCTCTACTTTGCGCGGGAAGCCTTCTACGTCCTCGGCAAGCTTGCTGAAGCTTTCCTGATTTTCCTTGGCAGCTTCCGCATGAGCTTTGATAGCCTGTATGATGCAATATGTGTAAGGGACACTCGTTGCGTCTCGAACACAAACGAGAAGAGCATCTGCACCTGGAGGAAACTCTCGATGACGGCCTTCTTCTGAGGCATTTCTGAGGACTTCGACAAAGGGACCACCGTCTTCGAGAATACTGGAGAGGCATGTTGAGCGGGTCATCTCGCTCTGTCCCATACCCATACGGAACAGCGCACTCTCAAGGAACCGCGCACACCATGAGGCATTGTGACGAGACCTGTCGTAGGCTTCTTTGTGTCTCTGTATAACAGCCCTAACAATCATCATCCCCGACATTGATCACAGAAAAAGCACCGCTCACCTTCCGCAAAATGTCCCACTCGTCTATCAATGGTTGAATCTGTTCGACCCTTTGCTGAGTCCTCAGCTCTGTCGCTATGGTCCCGAAGAGGTTCATGATATCTTTGTGATCATTCACTAGCGCTGCAAAGACTCTCCTCATTTCTGCGCGCGCCTGGTCACGATCATTGCTATACGGTGGCGGCAATTCACCACTGGCATTGTGGGCCATGGTTCGCAATATCTGGTACGAGTCCGTGGGCCGGCAGCCTGCAAACAGGCCGTGCAAAACGATCGGAGGAAAGACGGGGCACTGAATGCGCGAGGAGACCGGTCGCAGTACAAAGGCAGCTGCGGTAAGAACCACGAAGCACGGAAAGCTCCCGTGCCGTCACGTAACAATCATGAGCTCACTGAATTCCCTGGGCGAGTGAAGACATGGAAGGGTCCCGATTCCGAAGCGGCAAGAGGATCCTACGATAGCATTAATAATGTACACAGCGCGAACGTTCGTCCGGCATTAGGAACTGCGACCACCATCTATCCTTATCTTCTCTGACCTCCTTCAGCCTAACCATCCCGAGAAACCGACATGCTCACCGTACCGGCACCCTCAGTCTGCAGCCCCCCATCCCTCTTCCCGAACCCCGCCCCACACCCCGCCGCCTTCTCGTCCGCCCGACCCTTCTCTCCCACCTTCTCCGGCCCGTCCTCCAGCATCCACACCACGCCCTCGCCGTCCTGCAGATCCACCCCGACCCGCTCGAACTTCTCCGTCCACCAGATGAACACGTCCGGCGCGAAGATGTCCGTCGACGTCCCGACCAAGAACCCGAGCGTCCGCACGACCTCGAGCGCCGGAAACAGCGCGCGGTACGCCACGAGCGCCTCGAGGTGCGCCTGCGCCTGCACTGGCTTGTTCGGGTACAACTTGCTGATCCCCACGCCCCGGATCCCCACCCTCCGCAGCGACGGGTGCGGCGCGTCGAGGAGCGGGAGCGACGGCGAGCCCGCGTGGTGGTACGCCAGGTTCACGACGGGCGGCCCGGGCTCCCCGCGGCCGTTCACCGAGCTGAGGAGTCCCAGGCCGGCGCCGGGCACGGGGCGCTGCTGTGCGTCGTCGTGCGTCGTGTGCCGCGCGAGGACGTCAGGCGCGACCGCCAGCACCTTCTCGCGGCAGTCGAAGACGAGCGTGTCGAGGTTGGGGCAGGCGTTCGGGGCGAGGAACGCCGAGATGCTGAGCGGGCCCGGGCGGAGCGACTGGGTGTTCGAGGGGAGAAGCTCGACGGTCTGCAGCTGCTGTCCGTGCTTCTCCAGGAAGTTCGCGAGCTCCTTAGTCGCGAGCGGCGCGTACACCGTCCGCGGGGCGCCGGCAGCGTCGAGCACGAGGTGGCGGAGCGCCGGCATCACCTGCTTGCTCGCGTAGCGCAGCAGGAGCGGGCAAGTCGGAAGTGCCAGATAGCTTACGTTGTGCAGAAACATGGTTGCGAAGGTGACGTGTTGGAGACTACGTTCCGCATCCAGTATGCAGATCTTCCGGAGGTCGAGGACCCGAATTGCTGGGAAGCTGACGAGCGCCGACGTGGTGAGGATGGGGAGCTCCTTCACCGCGATCAAGACGCTGTCCTGCTGCCAATAGATCTCCTCGAGCGTCGGCGGAAGGTATCGAGCGAGCACGGGCAGAAAGCCGTCGGGGAGCGGCTCTTGCCAAAGGCCGCTGAACACACGAATGCGGGGGCAAAAGGAGACGGCGCGCACGATGGTCTGCCAATATGACAGAGCATGACCGGCCCGTGCCCTCAACCACCGTTGAACCTCGATGTGGCGGACCCACTGCCCATGGCCAAGTCCATCTACGACCTCGGCATCCCCGTTCTCCTTTTCCCTGAACTCCTTGCGGCTCTCCAACACCGTCCTGTAGAACGCATCGAGGCGTCGGGGGCTGCTGAGGACGACATGCTCGTACAGCAGCTCGGTCGCTATCGCCCTCCAAGCCCGACACACTCGGACGAGCATGCATTTCGTGCGCATAGACTGAATAGGCGAGTTCATCCCCCACACGTAGTCAACCGGACGCTCCGGCACGAAAGGGTCGCCCGTGGCGATGGAGCGGGTTCGAGGTACATGAGTGGCACACCGGAAGATCTCCAGCCAAAGCTCCGGAGGCAGGCTCGTGTGGTCAACCCTCGGTCTCCGGGCGACGCTGTCGACGGCCGCTGGGACGGGATCAAGACTGAGTGGGTCGGCTTGCGGCGAAGTTTCCGGCAAGGATATCGGACCTGATGAAGAATTGAGAGAGGGGCAACGCGCCGATATCTTGGCGTCTGCGTCAAGCTTTGGAGGCGGCTCGTCCAGCGGTGGCATAGCGCTCCCTGGGCGAGGCGCGGTGTTCAGCATCAGAGGGCATCTGAGCGTAACACGACCCAACGAGGAGAAACGACCAAAAATATATCCGTGTTCTCCATCGGGTCCCCGATGAGCAGTCAAGCCAAAGCCCAGACCGGCATGCGAGCGACCCAGACCGGCCAGTGGCGCAGATTAGGTAGCGATACACATACAACGGGCTCGCAGCATAAAGAAAGAGGGTACGGGTACGGATACGGTCGACGTAGAGGGCGAACGGGAACCCGCCAAGCGAACGGCCGCCATAACGGCTCGGAGGACTTTGAACCCGCGACACGTATGCTCGACGTCAACATTACGCAAACCACGACACGACGGGACACCTTAGTCCGCGACACATGGCGCGTACGCACTCACAGAAGGTTTAGGGTTCCTCTGTGTGGTAGGAGGGATGCAATATAGATGGACTGTGCCTTGCCTTGCCGCATAATTCAGGCCACTCGACGTAAGTCTAACCGCCACTCGCGCGACGTCGTAGTCCGACGCCGATGTGCGGCAAGAAGAATGGCTCGACATTGCACATCAGATGGCGAGATTCGCTAGCACGCCGGCAGCGCATTCGTTTCCTGCGTAGCCCGACATGCACCCATGCCTCACACGCCACCCGAGTGGCGTGTCAAGCGAGGAAGACAGTGGCAGGGCGTGCTGGGGGCTGTCGTTTCTCTTGTAGGAACGCGATGTCACTTACCGCTGCAATCTGTGCTCGGCACCGACGTCAAGCGGAAAGACGGCGTTGGCAAAGTTGGAGACCGGGTAGATGCCTGTCGTACGAACCGGATTTGCAAACGACACTGCGGAACCGGCACAGGGTAATTAGGGATTGCCGTCGGAGATAGACAGCAGCAACAGCAGCTCAAGGAGAGTAGGATGGCATGTGGTGGGGAGGCGGCAAGCGTGTGTAGGCACTGATGTGTCTCGATGGCGACAGATGCGGAGGGAGCAGACAGCGGTCGCGACGTCGTCAAAGTAGAGACCAAGTAGTGACAAGCGTCGGTGGTCGTGTGTAGTCGCAACACCTTTGTGGCGTAGGCCCGAGTCACCGTCCAAATGAAGTTGTTGGAGCCAGTCCATATCGGGGTCCCTTCACCCGAATATGGGATTTCCCGCCCGTCGCACTAGCCTCTTCATTTCCCACCCCTCTGTCCTCCGGTCGGATGCACCGTCTGCTCTGTGCGACGCCAAGTTAGCCTGGCCCTGAGCGTATTAGTGCGCACGTAGGAAGCCAGTTGACCGAGCCCCACATACACTGCTGCCTTGATTTCAAGGTGCAAAGCTGATTTGCCCATCTCCGAACGTTGTCCTGAGTCCCCCCACTGTAGTCCGAGTGTTCTTTGAATCCAACATCCAATCTTTGCAGCATAGGTACGCGGACGTCCCTCAATCCCCTCGTCGCGTGTTCCGAGAGAACGGGGTGCTCGGGCTCGGGCTCAGTGATAGCAATGTGCACATTCCAAGGCTGCCGGCATCACTTGGTGCCCGAAAGGCAACCGGTAATAGTCGCTGTGTAGTCGCTGGCCCAGTGGCCGGGCGGAATTGTCGGATTATGTACGATGTCCATATGTACGACGTGACCGATCGCGCACAGCTACGCTCGCACATCTCGCCGTCAATCTCCGTTACTTACGTTCCACCTGCGCTGACCAAAGTCGACGCCCGAGTTCGTGTGCTTACATACTTGCACGGTGGGAGGAAAAAGGGCGAATGGTGGTGAATTAGTGAACACACTTTTGAAACCTATCACCGTACGGGGTCTTTGGCCCTAGAACACTATACAATGGGTTATTGGGTATTGGAGGCCTATGGGGTGGCGGGTTCGAAAAGCCCCCTTCCGACGACTTGGGAAAGCCAAATTCTACGGTGTCGGGGAAATCGATCATGGGTTACCGGGAGTATGGGATGAGAAGGTGTCGACTGTCTGTATGCGGATCTGGATGGATATGCCGTTGTTCGTATGCCTATGCCTATGCCTGTGCCTATGCGTTCCTATGCTGCGTGTCCGTAACTAGTGCTAGTGGTATAACCGGGTACAATTACATGCTATGCTTTCAATCTGGGAATTGTGGATCTCTCGACCTCCCCTTCTCGGCGCCGATAGTGATAGTGCCGAAGTGGGCGAGTAACGCTTAAACGCCACGACGCTGGTAAATGGTAAAACAACATATCCGAAAAGAGACCGAGTCCCTGCCCCGACAGTGTACAAGGGTCCTACCCCCGACCATCGCGCACGCACGCTGGGTGCAGTGCATCTGGGGTGGTGGCCGACACGAGGGACGCGGGAAGAGGGACAAGGTGCGAGGGACGAGGAACTGGGCTCGGGTCGGGGGTGGCGATAGCAACGCTCGGGTCCGGAATCAAGTGCGCCTCCCCCGTCCCTCACCGAACCCGAGAAACACGTGTGCCCCCCCCCTCCCGAGTGATGACGTAGAGGTGTGTGTCCCGAGCATCAGAACAACGTCGCGCGCCGCTTGCCCGTCGTCGTGCGCTCGGCCCGGCCGACCATTCCCGAACTCGAACCCCCCGTCCCCGTTGAATACGAGTCCAACACGCACGCATCATCTCGCGCCCGGCGCAAGAGCGAGCAAGCGCAGCGCGCGGTCGTCCGCGGGGCACCTCCTGTAGACATGGCTGCGCGGGAGCGTGTTGAGCGGCACCAAATCGAGCGACGCCGCCTGTTGCTTCTCCGTCGGGAGCATCGGTGCAGGCCGGTACGGCTCGCCGTCCTCCCACAGCGGCGGCGTCGCAGCCATCATCATCGGCGAGTCCTGCGACGACGCGGACGCGCTCGACAGACTTGGGGACATGTGGTGCGGCGCGGACGCGGACCCGAACGAGTGCGCGGACCGCTCCGAGGACGCGGGCGAGTGCGAGTGCGACACGCGCATCTGCTGGTGCGCGAGGGACGCGGACGCGACGGTGTCAGACGTCCACGCGTAGTGCGGCGTCGGCTGGTTGACCGCGGCGACGAGGGTGGGGGTATACGCCGCCGCGGACATGGGCGAGAGCGGGGGCTTCACCTCGTCGACGAGGTTCATGCCGTAGTGCGGGGAGAGCGCGGTAGCCAGTTGCGACTCCTGCGGGCACGTCTGTAAATACCAGAACGACTCACTCAGGAAGGTACCAAATCACCTCAGAATACGCGTATGGCACGGGAGGGAGTGGGTGGAGGGGTACCGAGCCTGGCGGCGGGGACACGAACGCTTCCGGCACCCCAGACAGCGCGATGGACGAGCCGCTGCCGAGCGCGCTGGGCCCGGGCAGGACGGGGACGGGCGGCGGCGGGGACTCGCGCGGACGGCGGATGGGCTGAGGAGGGAAAGGAGCGTACATACGCTTCACGCTCGAACTTGCGCCCCTCGAACCCTCCCCGCGTTTGCCCGGCTTCGTCGTGCGCGCGCTCCTGAAAATGCCCGCGGGCACGACGAGATCGCGGAGCTGCGAGATTTCGTCGATCGTGCGCAACTGGCCCTCGGTCAGCTTGGTGAAGTACGCGTCTGCGTGGCGTGCGGGTCAGCGCGCGCTGGACGGGCAATAGCATAGAGTTGAGAGAAGCCGTACTCATGTGCCATTTCGGCGGCTTCTTGTGCTTGTCGTCCGACTCTTTGGACGGCGAGCCGTCCTGGTTCACGTCCTCGCGGATTACGGAGTAGGTGAGCTTGATGTACAGGTCCTGCTCGCCGGGGCGAACGACCTGATTTTCGGAGGTTCTGAAGAAGGGGGGTCGGGTGCACGCAGGAGGTGGGGGGTGGGGAGAGGCTCTATCACAACCAGCGCAAGTCCTTCGGGGTTAATAGGACGCACCTCGCGTTCCCCTTGCCCTTGCGCGGGCTCTCGAAGTACATGAGGAAATCCTGAAGCGAGCGTGTGAGCGCAGAGATAACGCGCAGAGGCGGCGAAGCACGCACCTCCCGGACACGCGAGGCCGTCCAGGACTTGCCCTCGGTGAACCGCTCCATGCTGACGCTGAACGTGTCCGTGCTGGGGCCCTTCTCCTCCCACACGTAGACGTCTCCTGGGCGGAGGGCGGCGCGCTCGTTGGCGTCGAGACGCTTCTCGATTTTGGGGAGGAGGCCGAGCTGGACGGCGTAGAAGAGCTTGTGGGCGTCGGCGGCGGAGCGGATGTGGACGTTGGTGAGGGTGGGCCGCTGCATGGTGGTATGCACGTTGTCGGCGCGGGCGATAGAGCGGGGCGGTGGAGGTGGGGGGGTGGGGTGGTTGGGGCGGGCCGGCGGAGGGGAGAAGGGGGCAGAAGACGGGGGTCGGGAGGAGGACGATTATATAGATACGGGGAGAGGCCTCTGATTGATGAGAGGGAGGAGGACGGTGGAGAGGTACTTAGGAATAGAGCGAGGTGCCTAGCCGCATCAGGCAAAGGAATAAGTGTGGAAATATAATGGGAGAGGGACGGAGTGCCAGAACCGGGATAGCGGACACTACGCAGACTCAGACCCGAGGGCCCGGCGCGTGCCGGCCGTTTGGTATCGCCCCTGCCATTCTAATCCTGGCAAATCGAGATTAGTCATTTCCCGCAAGTCGCCCCCAAGCGAACTCTATCAACTCTATTACATATCCGTCTACATACTGATCGTCCCTGCTCGCCTTGCCTCTCCTCTCAGTCGCCCGCATGCGACGGCCCCACCCCGGCCACAGCTGGCTCTCGCCTCGCCCCCCTCGTGCCCCCCTCGCGCTTGCATTCAGTACTGACTCCCTGCTCAATCCGCGCACAGGCACCCCAACCCGAACATGCGCCGCTTGGACCACTTCCCAGCACATCCCGCTCCCACTCCACCGCCGTAGCAGCACCACGCTGACGTCCGCCGGCTCCCGTCTGCCCAGCAACGCGTGCGAGTGCGGCGCAAGCACCCCATCCTCCAAACCTTCGCGGGAACGAAATCCGGCAGACGACTTACGTCTTCCCCAAGGTCACGCCCCCCTCGCCGGCCTTCTCGCCCCACGCCGTCCGACAGAACGCCGAGCGGACTGCGGCGGCGGGCCGCAGCGCGTCGGGCTACGGGGTGCTCTCCAGGAGAGATCAGAGACTCGCACACCGCCCACGCCCAATGACGCCATGGCGTGCGATGCGCGCGGCTGTCCAGCATTCCTCCCGCACTAAGTGGATTCTGGCCCCCCCTTGTTCGAAATCCCATCGTCCCCGAGGTCTCTGTTGGATGCTCGGCACCGTTGTCTATGTCTCGGCGTGCCCTTCGCCGAGCCCGCTGACATCGGCGCAGATCAACAGCATACATACGAGTTCCAGAAACTGCATCCGCCCACTCCGGGCTCCGGAGGAGCACTCGCACCCAAGAAGCCTGGTGCTGCGCTCCCGCGAGCTCGCGTCTCGCGGAGGCGCACGCGCGTAGAACACAGTCGACAGCCTCCATCACCGCCGGCGTGCACGCATCTCGCCAGCGCAACCCGCGATGCAGCTGCATATCACAGCAGCATGTACGCGAGCTTCAGTTCACACCGCGTCCTGTGCAGCAGCCCTTCTCAGACTCAGACACGGTGCCGGCCTCGCTTGCAGTACCGCCCCCCGCCGATTCGCCCGTCAGGCTGAGCTCGAAAGCGGAGGGAAAGAGAGGCGAATCGGAAGACGCACCCCAGAATCAGTGATCCACACAGCAGGTCCAGGCCCGACTGCTCGCTCCCCCTCGCCGAGGCGTGCCGTGTCGCCTGTCGTCGGAGAGGGGGGCACCATGAGGCGACGGGACGTCTGACGGCGGCGGACATTGGGTGGGGGTTTGGGAGGCAGATTCGGGTATAGGCTCGCTCGCGCAGACTTGTCTAAAGGCTAGGCAAAGGGATGATGGCATGCGACTGCATACAGTCGGCGGGCGTGTGGCGGCACTGAGCCGCTGTCTTGGTCGGCGCAGCTGTGGTCTCGTGCGTGGGGGTTCTGGCCTGGAACAGGTGCTGCGACGGCGGCAGGGAGGGGCTTGGGTCGTGTGCCGACGAGGGAGTGGATGGGCGACCAAACTGACGAACGTATTGCGTGCACTCGGCCGGACGGGGCGGCCGTGTATGTATGCAGTCAAGCCGGGAGACAGAGGATCGAAAGGAGATGGGCTGCTATTTACAGGCGTTGTTGTTTGAGTTGAAACGGGTGACTGAACGCTATTCGGGCTATTATAGACTCTCAGCGCAGTGACGGAAGCAGATCTGGCCGATCGTCTGGGAGCCTGGCAGGCGTCTACGCATGGGTGATGGCGAGCCGGCCGCAGCGCTTGCCAAATTAGGGCAGATATCGTACCATATCTGGGATTCGCACCCGCGGCCAGATGCGGCAAGCTCGGCGCTAGCCTCCGTTCCCTCTCGGTCTCCCACAAGCGCCCATCTATAGCGCCTACTTACATCCAAAGACACCAGAACGAATTTCATGACGGACGTTTCTTCAGACCGAGGCGCGCGCGGTGACAATTCATGTCAACCCGACCCAGCAACCGCTCGCGCTGGCATCCTTTCATCCGTCTCAACCAAGCCCTGCCCGCATCGTCCCTATACCGATCCCCATTCAGCACCGAAATTCGCGGACTCGCCTCGTGAATCAACCGCGATCCATTAATATTTACTTCCCCTCGCGAACAGCCGCCGGCATAGCGATTGGTCGCAGCCAGCTGGAATCTCAGTCCCACCGAAAACGGCGCGAGCAGCCGCTAATACTGCGATCGTCATCGGCAGTCTAGACCGGTACGTTTCGCGCGCGCACGTAGTACTTAATACCCACCATTTCCAGCCATATTCATGCATGGCACGCGCGCACCATCCTCGATTCGTCCATCCTCTCCCGTCGTTGCGTCCCGCTCGCCCAAACCCAAATATCCGCGTGCACGCCATCGCAAGCTCTCTGCGTGAGTGCCTTGCCCGCACGTCTAATTCTGATCATGATCGGCCATCGCCCCCGGCGTCGACGAAGCCCAGCCCGCAGATTCCAGCACTCCGCTCCCAATTCGCTCGTTCGTTCGTTCGTTCATTCGTTCGTTCGTTCGTTCATTCGTTCGTTCGTTCGTTCGTTCATTCATTCATTCATTCAGCGTCGGAGCTCGCAGGACGAGTTCGACGGCCAGATCGCCTCTGCGCCCGGCGCAACCCCCGGGAGTCATGGGTACCGCGGACGTGAGAGCGGGCTGCGTTCTCGGTTCTCGCCCCGTCAGCTGCTGCTAAAGCTCCCGCGCGCACTGCACTCGACTCAATCCCGACTGAATGGCCTGGGAGCCGTCCACCCACGCCCGCCTGGGATCGCACCAGCACCCGGAGGGAACGACGGAAAACGGCGTCGTGGCGGACGCGAATGCGAACGGGACACGGCTCCACCGCACGCACGCACGCTTGGGGGGGCGTGCTCATGCGACGCTAGACGGTTCTCCGTCCTTCGCGCGTCCGCGCTCGCCCGTGCGCTGTCTCCCGCTGCACGCAGGAGTGCGCCGTGCTCGAGTGCACGCCTTGCCAGACACGCGCCGCCCCGAAGGCCCAAGATCCTGATCCTGCCAGATGCTGGGGACAGCACGTCCGAGCGAAGATCCCCGCCCCACAGGCCCAGAACGCGCGAATCCACGCAGCCCCTTCAAGGATCCACCCGTTCTGGACGTCCGGAAGCACGCCTGCCAGCTGCAGCTGCAGCTTTCCGATGCGCACGCTGGGGGAGTGAGAACTCAGCCTATCGCCCGCCACGTCTCTGTCACGGCGCCGGAGGCCGCACGCTGCGAGAAGCGTCGGCGACCTGGCAACTCAGAACCCAGTGCTCAGTGCTCAGGAGCGATCTGCACAGACACAACGGACGCGAAGCCCCGTCCACCCACGCGTGCCGCGTGCCTGTGGGTTTAGGCTCGCGCGCAGTACGCAGCCCACGTCCGCGTTCTCCTCTCCTCCCCTCCCTCTCCTCCAACTACGGGAGAGGCGCCGCTGCTTGGGTTCTCTGCTTGAAAATAGACGTAGGGGGGAGGTGTCCGCCCTCTGGGATGGCGACGGGGGAATGGGGGAGGGGTCACGACCGTCCGGCATTCTCGCACACGCACGATCGACCGTGAAGCATCCCCCCATCCCGTCAATCGATCTCGTAACGGGTGCGTCTGGGGTATTAGCGTTTTGCCCCAATGGAAGCACACTCACGTCCGCAGGGGAGGCTGCGCCTACTACGCTCGCTCGCGCGTGTGTTCGCAGGCTATTCTGCGAAGCCGCAGCTTGTGCGGCGACGTCCAGCCCACCAGCCCACACCCCCCCCTCCCCCCCCCTGTGGTCGTGTGGCGTGCCCAGCCGTCTTAGGGTTCGTGCACCCGTGGTCACGCGAGGACGTCCCATGGTTGACAGCAGCAGAGTCCGCGGCGTGTGGTGTCTTTTGCTGATCAGGGGCGGCGGACGCGGTGAGTGGTCTGATCGCCCGTTCGTGTACACCACACACAGCGCACGGGAAGAGGCCGAGAGACGGGGGCACAGCGGGTGGCCTGACCTTCGTCAACGTGAGCGGCACACCACGCTGCGTCCGCCGGGAGCGTTCTGTTCCGCGAGCCCGAGTGCATGCAATGAGGCGGATTCGCTGATTCGTCCGCCCTCGTGTGCGCGCTGGGTGCGAGCATGGAACTCGCGAACGTGCGCGCGTGCGAGCAGGACGTGGGCACGGACGCGCGACGACTATGACGAGGCGGCGACGAGCGGACGGTACGGTGGGGCCGAAGCGCACTCGCGGGGTGCACATGCCGGGGGAGGGAAGCAGGGAACTCGCGATCGAAGGGAGGGCGAGAAAGAAAGGATGCGAAGGGGCGCGGACGTGCACTCTGCACTGGCACGGGAGAGGCACATCGGCCGCGACCATGACGCGGGCGGCAGTGGCGTCCTTCCTGTACGTTACGCGTGCAGCTCGCGTTCGCGTCCCTTCGCGAAGGCAGCAGATGATCAGGGAACGCGTAGCGTCAATAGAGCGGAGTGGCATGGGCAGCGCCTTCCGCCAACGCCTTCAATAAATCCCACTTCCGATCCCAGGACCAGCGATTTCATTCATTCGAAACGCGCGTAGACATGTGTACGTACTCAAGTACGTATGGTGGATCTCGCGGGAGAATCAAGATCATCACGAACGCAAAGGCGAAGGACCCTTGCTAAGCGGGAAGCAGCAGCCTGCTCCACTTGAGCCTACGCGTAGTGCAGTACGCGACGCCTTCTCTGTCTTCTTCTCACTCTTCTTTTACTGGAAGTCCGCACGCTCGGGGCTCTACGGCCGCATCTATCCTTCATTGACGCAGTCAATTCCTCCAGGCCGGCCCATAACGAGACGACGGTGGCCAGGATTAGACAATTGGCATTTGTGACACGTTCGCAGTCGCAGTGAGATTTGGGGTAGATTCTCGCAAGAGTTTATCCATCACCCAGCGGGTGGAAGCGCGTCCAGAGTCCTCGCGACGGCTTGTGGGCCTGGGCCTACTCGACTCACAGCGGCAGCAAGCATTAAAATTAGGGTCCGTCTTAGATCCCAGCCTATCACTTCATCGAAGACGTCCCATGTGCGAGTCGCCTCAGTATGTACGTACGGCCTGGGAGGGCGATGGCCCATATATAGCACTGACAACAGGGCAACGAGAAACAAAGCTATCCAGGAAGGCATGGTGTGCGTACGGCATGTCTCCTGTAACGTAACGCACAAGGCAATCAGCAGCGGCGATCCAGTGCGAGATGAATGCACCACCAGCCGGGCATCTCCTTCCCTAGCCTAGGCTCGACGTACACCCCTCTTCCAGTTCAGTCCAGCCTGGGAGCCAGGCAGCGCTGACGGATCGTCTGCAGCCGTCTCCAGACAGACGAACTTTGACGGCACGACACTGACGGGATGTGGCAGCTCACCTTAGCACCTTCACTGCTCGGTCTGGCCCACCTCAAACAGGCTAGGCAGATGGGTAGACGCACGCCCGCGAGAAGCAGCTAGCCACAAGTCAGAGTCTCAGGACACGGCACACATGACCTGCGGCCGCAGAAGATGGCCACGCCCTCCTGACAGAAGAAGGCATCGAGTATCCTGACGTGCATCTCGGAGTCAGATGCGGCACAGACCAACATACCTTGTGACGGGTAGTGGACGGCATGCCCATTGCCACGAGACCGCTGTTACAATTTTCAGCGTTTCGCAACGACTGCGGAAAACCGGATTATTTTGGGGTAGCGATTGCAAGCATACAGACACAGTATGAGCTGGGCACCCCCGTACCCCATGGGGCCAGACCCGAGCACAGCAGATCACGGTGACGGTACGACTGAGATTTGAATTAGCTGTGCATGCAGGATGGCGACCGATGATGACGGATGATGATATGTAATCGAGAATAGATGGGTACGAGATGAAAGGAGGGGGGCCATGGGGACGCACTGACGCCGACATGAGTGAGGGCATCGTCGGGATAAGACGGGAATGGAGAATGGATGGGATCTGACAGAATGCAAAGAGACGCAACGTGTGGATCAGCAGCCCTGACGGGACGAAACGCAATCACAGCCCCACCCTCTGTGTCCGGAGTTGGTTCCGAGGGGCAAGACGAGGATGCGAGTTATATGCGATAGGTGGCCAAAACTGGGATGGGGTAATGGGGTTTCGCTGTGCGATCTGAGGTAGGCGAGCGCAACGCCTGCCGCTATGTAGCGCTGTGCTGCATCGATGGCCCAGAGCTCAGGTCGGAAAACCCAAGCTTTGAGCCTGAGCTTGACAACTTGCAGACCTTGAAATCCGGATGTTGTGACCTGACCCTAGCTATGACTAAGGACCTAGATTGCGTAGACTCTGATTGCGATGCTGCGTCAAAGAGATGTGGATATTGGATGCGAACGAGAGCGATGCAGGAAGGCGAGAGAGGCGCGAGACGACGGTTGGGAACTGTTCAAGCAGTGGACAATCAAGCAAGATTGATGACACAAGACAAACGCTGACCGGTGCATGCAGCGGACGTTGCCCCACAGAGGACACATCAGCGCACAGTCGTTCCTGGTGCTCCGCGCCTGCCTTCCATCTTCCCTCTCGCTCGCAAGCGCCGACCGCCCGTGGCGTGCGTCAGGCCGTAAGTATACAGGCCCCGCCCGTCCGTCTAATCTAGACAATCTCGCAGTCGAACTTCTGCAGAATGTCGTCGTCGGCGACGTCCCGGGGCGGGTAGGGGTGCTTCCGGAGGTATATCAACGGGGCAAGGTCGATTGTGTGGTTCCTCCTCAGCCTCTGGCTCTGGGCGCACTTCAGGTCCGGCTGGCGTGTCGCGAGCTCGTCCTCGAACCATCGTGGGGGGCTCCACGGCGGGGGCTTGAGCGCTGGCAGGTGCAGATCCGTCTGCTGTGGAGATGGTGTCGAGCTTGGAGGTGAGAGCATGTCGCCCCGGTCGATCGTATACAGCGGTATGCGATTGCGCGACGAGGTGGTGGAGGCGAGGGACGACAGGGAGGACGAGGATGAGGAAAGGGGGAGAGGCTTGAGCTCCTGTCCGAAGAGAGGCGGACCTGACGACTCTGGGCGCGCACGCTGGCGCGCCATACGCGCCGTCGTGTACTTCCTCGGAGGGACTAAGTCCCTGATTGCAGAGAGCTCGGGGATTTCATCGACGGTGAGCAAGCGCTCAAGCGTCTCGCCCGTAAAATACGCGACTGGTGTGTTGAGTGTGCGCAGGAGTACGATCATCACCCATCGCGGGCGGGGCAAACGAGGGGGGCGGTACGAGCGGATGCGTATAGGTAATGGGGCGTACCGAGTATCAACCGAATCAGACACAAGCGGATGGGAGTTGACGACGTGCGATACAGGAGGAGAGGCGCGTGAGATCGCAGCACGAGTGCAGGATAGAAGCATGGGAAACGCACCAAGATGCCACTTTCTCCGGCCAGACGGCGTATCCACGTAGACTGAGTAAGTCTGCTTAATGAGTCTGCTCCCGAATCTGCACCCGATGAATAGGTTCGCGTTGGTAACCGCGTGCGAGTGAGCAAAATATAGATTTGAACTTGAGCCATCTCGTGCAGGCGCATAAAAGAGGCGTAGGGGCCACACGCACATAAGGGAAGACAGTTCCTCGTCTGCCTCAAACTCTGGAAGCTTCTCCTGGTAATACAGGAACTCCTGCGTAAGCCGCGCAACACATTCAGTGGTTGGTTCGATTGACCATCGGACACCCGTGGAAGGGAAGTTAACAAGACTCACATCGCGAACTCTGGAAGGGCCCCACCGTCTGCCGTCCGTCCATCGCTCTATGCCTACAGACTATTGATAGCGGGTGTTGAGCACCTTGCTACACTGCTTTTGGATGGGAAGACAGAGAGGTGACGTGGTGGCTGTGATGGGATGGGATGGCCACAGTAGCAATGGCAGGAGACCTACCGAAGTACCCTCTCCACACGCGCTGCGTTCTTCCCATACACATACGCAGCCAGAATGAATGTAACGTCGTTCGTCGATGTCCAGGCGTCTGGAGACGATCGGGAGGAGCCCCAGGGTTACAGCGTGAAAAATGACATGTGCGTCCGAGAGAGAGCGGATACGGATACCAGTACAAGTCGGGAGCTGCATCGACAGCAAACGAATGGGGGTGGCTACGGATTGTGCGCAGAGGGCGCGGGGAGCTTGTGAGGATAAAGCGGGTGCGGCAGTGGGGGAGACTGAGACGGTCGTAGGCAGGCAATCAGGTTTTGAGGTGAGGTGAGAGACGATTAGTGGGGGTGGGAAAGCATGGGCGCTCGAGAGACAAGGACGCACGAGTCTGGCGGAATTGGTGATTGGGTGCGCTGATGGGACATCCTGGCGGCAAGGCGATACGATACTGTAGCTGCTCGATGCCGTGCGCGCCTTGTGTCGGTATTGATGGAAACGGTCTTTCTGACTGCCGCCCGGGCCTCCGCACCTGATGTAAGTAAGGAGCAGCCCGCGCCAATTCTTGCTCCGGTCCACTCGGGCGTCCTTGGGCGCCCATCCCCCTACTGAGGCACCAGGCGCTGACAAGATAGTCAGATCTTGGCTATCACAACGAACCGCCGACGGTATAGCGTGGTGGACAACCAACATCACCGTCTGCCAGATATTGTGCGAAGAAGAGAGAAGAAGCCGGAGCGGCGGCTCACTTCCGTTGTTGACGAACGCTGCGAACAGCGTTACACTCAGGAAGTCTTCGCGCTCGATAGCAGAATGGCGCCTTGAAGGCGTTCTTGCGCTCGCCACCTGTCTTTCGGTGGCCTCTGTTCCGGATGCACATAAGCACCACTTATCGCGAACTCCCCGAGCGCAGTAACACATGAACGCAGATCCCGAAGAAGCGACTTACACATTCGTCTCAGAGCGTCACCGAATCTGTTTCCACTCCTACCCGAGTCTCTATCTGCAGCACGCTACGCGCGTGCTTTGTCTTGTCCGGCGTTTTGTGCTTGCTAACGTGGTGAGTGAGGTCTCGTCCTTGAGAGAATGTTGAAGACGCAATCGAACACGAACAGAGGGTCCACGGTAGCATATGCGCTGCTTACCGCTGTGATTGAGTTCAGACGATGGAAGCCACCGGCTATGTGGCTCCCACATGCATGTGCTCAGTCTTCCCAAGCAGCAGAGGACTTGCGGACATGGGACGGTGAGGCAGCTCTGCGGCCGACTCATGAATCAAACAAAGTTGTGATAAGCCGATGTGCGTGTCCAAGGACTCCAAGATCATCACGAGGAGCATTGTTCACGAGAGCATTTGGCCGCGAAAGGGAGTGCAGATGACGGCGAAGGCAGAGGGGTGGGTAAGGGCGATCGAAGAAGTTGCGAAGTCAGAGCAGTGCGCAAACTTCGGCAACGGCGAGGTGTCAAAGCATCGAGTGTTAGACGCCGAATTTGACCACAGCATCACCTCCACCGGCTTGAAGCTGAAGCCCAGTCAAAACTTGCTCGAGAACCATAGGAAATCATCAGGAAAAGTTTCGATGGGCAATGATCTCGACAGTGTTGAATAGGCGCTAGTTTACACAGCCTGTCTAACACAGCCGTCACAAGATATGGAACAGCACAGCCAGTTACTGCAATAACTGAGGCTGTACTACTCATGTGGTACACACACCATCAGCAAAAAAGCGAAAGAAATGGTCAGTTATGTCCGGCATCCGTCTTACACGGCCAGATTGGCGAGATATGGCAAAGGGATGGCGAAAACTGGTAGAGAATCGCCAGGTATGCTCTGCAATGGCCGGACCTTGCGGGGCGCCTGAACACTGACTGTCGGTCCTGGCTGAGCATCGGATCATTAGTTACCATAACGTAGAGGGCGTATGGCCGACAATGTACGTTTACGACTGCGCCAATGAACATCAATGGTAGGTAATTGGTGAGGATCCTGCCATGGAAGGACACACCCAAACCACGATATGGTCGTTGAATGCACATGTGTGAGAGATATTAGCTGATAGTTTGGATCGCACGCTGGTGGACATTTGTCTTATCCATAGCACATGATCATTGGAAG